TTTATATTGTAACTTAGGATATGTGATTTTATCTTAAGAAATAAAGATTATTATTATTATTATTATTATTGCTGATTGTTGTTCTCGTTGTCGCTTCCGTGGTGATCAACTCAGTTAAGGATGTGTTCCTTCACTAAAATCCAAGATCAGATCAAAAATAGGGATCATGAGGATTTTTCTTTGAGAAAAGAAACGATATTTAAAAAGGGATAATGAAATAATATATAGGGACTTTAAGGTCCAACGACACGAGGGTAACAATTGCAAGAACGTCGCTTAAAAAGTCAATTTGCGTTCTTCCAGTCTTTATAGCGATTATTCCTACCCACTTACTTTGTTCAATTGTAGGCGAACCCTCCTAAAGCTGAATTTCAAGGGACCATATTTAAGCTCAAAAAGAGAAATAAAATTTCATCTTTGCTTGTTTACGTTCTCGATTAAACGTGAAATATGGCATTTTCACGTCGTAGTCGTGCAAAACCAGGAAAGAAATGTACAAAAAAGTGTGATGCACGTGCAAAGTTGTTGTTTTGCTCATTAAACCTATTGTTTTTATGACGTTCTCGTTGCCGTCCGCGTCGTTGGATCTTAAAGTCCCTTATGTATTGAAAAAGGCGCGCCGGTGAAGTTGTGTAGCGGTTTTTTCCTTGTAACCAGAACAATGCAGGTCCTGTTCGTATTGCGATTTTACCACCCCGATAAAACGGATAAATTAATCGTACAATACAAGATTTTGGTCCTGTAGAAATGTGTCATACGCCTTATATTATTCCCGTATAGGGATCATTCACTTCCTTTTTTGTGACATCTAAATAATACTCTACCGGTAGACGATCCATATTACCCCGGATAACCTTGTGCGACGTTTTTACTCGTTCAAGACAAACACATTCATATAATACAATTAAGATCAGCTTCTACTGGAAATTTCTATGTTAAACCTTGTACATTAAACCTCAAGCAGAATTCTGTTGCTAGATTTGGTACCGTGGAATTCTCTGAGTGCCACTACGCATTAACTCTCTCTCTCAAGCAGTTTTTACAAAAAATTCCATGGTACACTTCTTGAAAATCCTCGCCGCTGTGAGGATAATTATATCGATTCCATCAGTAACTCGTCTTAAAGATCGCACGGTCTAAAATCATGTTTTCCTGTCATAATTATTAGGGAGTTTAAGCGACGGCGACGGCTACGAAAACGGAGGTCGTTGTCTTGTATTCCCGTCCTCCACAAAACGTAAAATTAGGCACTTTCACGTCATAGACGTGCAACGGCGGCAAAGAAATGTACAAAAAAGCGTGCAAAGCTGTTGTTTCGCCAATCTAACCCTATCACTTTTTCGCCGTCCTCGTTGCCGTTGCCGTCGTCGTTGCTTAAGCTCCCTAGTAAGGTCTAGTAACTATCTGTAATTCAGCTTGTTAATCAAGTGTTTTCTTCAACTAGTACTGAGTTAATTTTTTTGTATTTTATTTATTTATTCATGTAATGCTTTTTAGACAATTTCACTTATACCTTATTCTAGGCATTTTATTTTATAATTAGCCTGTGCTATTAGCAGGTACATCGAAGTGTCAATCACCTAAGGTTTATTTAATTTATGGTATTTTCCCGATCAGCGAACTGTAACCTTGCATTTTTTAGTAGTTACTTTTGTATTTTAATTTTAGTTTGCAAACCGCCCAGACGTAATTTTAAATAAAGTTGTTGTTGTTGTTCATATTTATATATACAGTAAAAACCGAAGAAGTCCTAGAATCGTTCCCTGCGGAAAACCGCAGTGTAGGAACGCTTCAATTAACGGGAAACGTTTTCATACGATCTAAACCCTGCTCCGTGGTCCCTGTTTATACGTTACTATTAACTAATAGCGTGACTGTAAAAAAAGGTAGGATCGACCCCACAAAACTTAGCGTGACTTCTGATTTACCAATCTCGTATCCAATCTCGTACCACTCGGGCTCAAAAGGCTCGAGGACTCTGGGTACGAGATTGAGGTCTGACAACAATAACACGAGAAATGGGGGATCACCTGACAATTTCTCCACTTTCACTTTCGATCAGCGTTTCCTCCTGCTTTCTCAGGTTGTACATAAAAAATAAGTCGACTTTCGGTAGGTTCAAGGTGAGTAATAAGATTAATTGAGATAAATGCAGGTTCTTTTGTCGTAGTTTAGCACGAGGTTTTGTGTCCAAGACGCTGTTTAAACCCACTTGTTCGCCAGACAATTTAATAGCATCCGTGTTGAATCTGATGTTGATAGCCTCAGCATACATCTTCATCACAACGTGTCTTGACTGTTGTTTGGTACATTGTATTGAACTTTTTGTAAAGAAACGGGTTTCTTCTTAGTTTTTTTTTGTTCTTCGAACGTGTAAATATGTGAATAACACAACAAGTGCATTACGTCCGGCCTGGAGAAACCATCAGCACTGCTCGCAAGGTACTTCATTGTACTTCTGAGAGATCATCAGACTATACATGTCGCTAGCAGTCGCTCTTTCGCTAACAAAATACGCACCATTACTTTGCATACTTTACTTTGCTATCCCTTAGAGAATAATAAGTCGATCAAAACACCGTTTTCTATTCATGCACTCGCTTTATTTATGAAGCGCTTTTGAAGTTAAAGTTTGTTGACAAGGTTTTCCCTGGGCCTACTTTCGCATAAATTTTGTGCCCGAAATTCGTAGAATCAAAGGCTCCTGTATGCCAGATCATGGATGAATTGGGTTTAGTAAAGTAATACTAAAAGGGAACTTGTGATGACTTAGGTGAAAGAAAATATTTCCGTAAGTTTAAAATTCCTGCTTCCTTAAAGTGAAATTTCAAAATGGTTGTCAACAGTACCTGTCGGAAAGAAAAACATAACGGAAGACTCTGCAAATCCACATTCCTGTTAAAAATGTTCGTGACATATGAATTTTCAAATATCAGTTTGCATACGAAGGTGAATCGTTGATTCGTCCAAATAATAAATAAACCACAGCATATGTATATTCTCAACGTCGCTTTAACAATCCTAGGTCCAGGGGAACCCAACGAGAATATAGTTCAAAACCACTTAAACATAGAATTGTTAAACGTATTTTAGTACTTAAACGGTAGATATAGGCATATTTTTATCCCCTAAAAATTTTTCATCTGTTCGGATTTCCCAGCTGAAAGTCTAGTGATCCGAAAATTATAGGGATGAAAACTTACCTTTTCGAAAATTTCAGCCAGAAAAAAGGCTTCCGAAAATTCTAGGCGACCTTTTTAGGGTAAAAATCCGTTAAAAATAGGCAAATATAACATTTTTTGGATGTTCGAAAATCCTAGGAGAGGCAGGCAAGCAAGAAATTTTACAACAAATGTTCCGAAAATTCTAGATCTCAAATCGTCTTCCGAACAGATATTTTTCAAAGACACAAAATGAGACTCATGAAACAACCCGACGCAATCTAAGATTCAGGATACTCCGAGAGAATTTTTCCGGGTACTGCTATGCTGACAATAGGCAAATATAAAATTTTTTGGCTGTTCGTCCATCCTAGGAGAGGCCGGCAAGCAAGAATTTTTACAACCCATGTTCCGAAAATTCTAGATCTCAAATCGTCTTCCGAACAGATATTTTTCCGAAAATTGTCGTTGGGTGCCCCTGTAGGTCTATCAGTTTCGCAGCCAGGAATCTTTGGCTTATTAGCTTTTCACTGATTCTCGAGATTTTTATTAAATAAGTTAATACACTTTACACAAACGCCACTGAATCGTAGTCAACAGTTACCGGCACTGTACAAACGACTTATTGACAGAATCAAGCAAAACTACGAGAGAACGACTGGACAACTGACAATTTGACTAACAATAGACGACTGTCTAACTGTGACAATAGACGCCGGGATCGAAACGCTCCAACGACATTTAATACGAGTCTTCATAGCCAATAACATCACGGCTTAACTGACAGACGACCAATAACATAGCGACTTTATTGACCAATCAGGTCAATAACCAGAGTATAATAACATCCACTGACGTGATACAACTCACTTTGACTCTGAAGATGACTACCGCACAGGTTGTCGAAACGTCAGTCACTGTCAACAACAACAGTCCTATTCAGGACTACGTTCAACCGGACGATCAAACTCAACCTACTTTTAATACACTTTAGTGGCTCAAAGGAACAATTTAAAACAAAACGAAGCTGAAATGCAGTACCTCTTACAGGATTAAATGTTGCTGATGGAATACTCACAGGAGCACCTGAACTACTTCAGACTCTGCTACATAGGATTTGATTTGGTTCCAGCGGGACTCCGGCAGATTTTTAAAAACGAATGGGACTTTCTTTACAACGCAACTTCATTTGGAGAATGGAAAGATACGGGACAAAATGGTCGTGATTTTTATAATACAGAATCTAAGAAAAGTCGCAAGAAAAACGCTCGGTACCTAGCGACAATACAGAGTGGAAACACAGCAGAGTGGGACTCCTCCTGTTTGTTTTTTGCCATCCTGTACTCAGACAGCGTTGGTGCCACAGTAAGTCCAGCTGTCAAGAAAGAGGTTGATGATATTCGTCAGGTGCGAAACGAGATCGCCCACATCACTGAGGCTAAGCTGACAGATGCCGACCTCCAAACGTCAGTAGACAGACTCTTGAACGCTTTTACATCCCTTGGTCTTGCTATCACTGAGATCCAAGATATAAAGAACCAGACGACCTTTCCAACGGAGGAAGTGAAAAAAATTGAGAAGCAAGCTCGTGATCTCCAAACTGAGTTAGATCAGACAAAATCTGTCTTGCAGGAAACAAAAAACAAACTTCAGAGTACAGAAGCTGATCTGGTTTCCTCGAGAGAAGAAAACAATGCCCTCACACAAGAAATAAACGCCAAACCTCAGGCATTTTGCTTTTTCGCATCGAGACCACAACATGGAATTGTCAGACGTTCCCATGACATTAAGAGAATTACAAAAAAATTGAAGGAACTTCACAGTGGTGCCTACGGAGCAGTCAGTACGTTGTATTTGTCAGGGAATCCAGGATGTGGCAAGAGTCAACTTGCCAGGGAAATCGGAGAGCAGTTCTTTTCAGAACGAACCGATAAAGATGTGATCTTTGTTGCGACCCTAAATGCAGAAAGCATCCAGGCACTTGCGGACTCTTACATCCTCCTTGGGAGAAAACTAGGACTAACTGAATACACCATGGCAAGCTTGGCATCTTCAAAAGAAAAGAAACCTATTGAAGCTATTGAACAGCTCCGTCGCTTGATTTTGCCGATGATTAGCAAGTTTACTTCATGGATGATTATAGCAGACAATGTGGTTGACTTACGCTTAGTCCGCAATTTATTGCCTCATACTGGCAGTAAGGAATGGGGTCCTGGTCAAGTACTGATTACCACTCAGGATAGCCCCACAATTCCTCAAAACGCTCCTCATACGTATCATGAATCATTAAGTAAAGGAATGAGGCGGGACGAGGCAGTGAAACTGCTGGAAACAGTATCGCAAATCTCAGAGAAAGTACAAGCGGAAAAAGTCGCCGAACTTCTTGATTTTCAGCCTTTGGCCTTAGCTGCTGCTGCTTATTACGTGCAAACTGTTGTGAACGGTGGATCCTCAAATTATGATTGGCAAGCATACCTCCATGACATATCAAGTTATGGCCAACGAAAAGATATTGAAGCTGTCCTTGCGAATGAAAGTCCCGCCTATGATAAAACAACAATGGCCGCCGTGGAAATGGCTATTCAAAGGGCTGTTTACACTGAGGAAGTTCTGCGTCAGACATTCTGTTTCCTTGCACTTTGCGCTCCCGATGATCTCCCACTCCAGACTGTTTCCAGGTTCGTCAAAGCCCAAGTAAGGCAACAGCCAGAGGAGTTAATAAAAGCGAAGATTGTAAGGTCCTCTTTAATTCTTGTTCATTCTGAGGAAGGGGATGAACGACCATACTTGCGCTTGCATAAAGTTGTGCAAGAAACTTTGAAAAGAGGCGAAATGTTTAACCTAAAATCTATGGAGAATGACCGCAACATGGCCGAGGCAGTAAAGATTTTCAAGTCCCAAATTGAAGAACAGGGCGAAAATAATGCGTTTTTAATCAAACTCAGGCCCCACTGTGAATCTTTACTAAGGCACATGACCTCAGATTTCAGTTTGGATCAAAGCATTTTTTGTAAAAGGTTCGCACTTTTCGTAGACTTGGATATAATTATTGATTGGCTAGGTACTTTTGCCAGTGTCTGTCAAGAACAATCCCATTTCTTCTTTGCGAAAAATGTGGTCGACTTAGCCTGCAACCTACTGGAGAACAAAGAGGATACTCTTTCAACTCCTTTGCTTGTAGCAAGGATTTTCAACGTAAGTGGTACAGTGTACCGCAACATCGGAGAATACAGTCTTGCCAAAGACCTTCATGAAAAAGCAGTGATGCTTTGCAAAGAGATTTGCAGTGAAGATCATTCCGCTGTAGCATCAAGTTATAACAACTTGGCATTAGTGTATAACAGCCTGGGAGAATACAGTCAAGCCAAGGAGCTTTATGAAAAAGCACTGGTCATTTGGAATGAAATTTCAAGTGAAGATAACCCCACTGTAGCAAAAGTTTACAGCAACTTAGCATTGGTGCACCACTCCCTTGGAGAATACAATCTAGCCAAAGTATTTCACGAAAAAGCACTGATGATACAAAAAAGAACTCTCGGTGAAGATCATAACGATGTGGCAACAAGTTATAACAAGCTGGCCTTACTGTGCGATAGTCTTGGAGAATACAATCTAGCCAAAGAACTTAACTATAAAGCTTTGATCATTTGGAAGAATATTTTCGGCGAAGATCATGCCAAGGTAGCGACAAGTTTTAACAACTTGGCGTTAATTTCTAAAAGCCTGGGAGAATACAATCAAGCCAAAGAAGGTTTTGAAAAAGCAATGGTGATTTGGAAAAATATTTTCGGTGAAGATCATCCCAATGTAGCGACAAGTTATAACAACTTGGCATTAGTGTACCAAGAACTGGGAAACTACAATCATGCCAAAAAGCTTTTTGAAAAAGCTTTGATGATTCGCAAAAAACATTTCCCTAGAGATCATACCGATGTAGCAACAAGTTATAACAACCTAGCATCAGTGTACAATAACCTGGGAGAATACAATGTAGCCAAAGAACTTTTCAAAAAAGCTTTGATAATATGGAGAAATCTTTTCGGTGAGGATCATGTCAAAGTAGCAACGGGTTATAACAACTTGGCGTTAGTTTACCATACCATGGGAGAAAACGATCAAGCCAAAGAACTTCACGAGAAAGCACTGGTAATTTTGATCAAGATTTTCAGTGAAGATCATTCCACTGTAGCGAAATCTTATAGCAATTTAGCGTTAGTGCACTATTCCCTGGGGGAATACAATCTAGCCAAAAAACTTCACGAAAAAGCACTGATGATTCGCCAAAAAATTTTGAGCGAAGATCATGACGATGTAGTATCAAGTTATAACAACCTGGCAACAGTGTGCTATAGCCTTGGAGAATATATTGAGGCCAAAGACCTTTGCGAAAAAGCTTTGGTAATCTGGAGAAATCTTTTCGGTGAAGATCATGTCAAAGTAGCAACGAGTTATAACAACTTGGCACTTGTGTACGAAGACCTAGGAGACTACAATCAAGCCAAAAAGCTCATTGAAAAAGCTTTGTTAATTCGAAAGAAGATTTTAGGTGATTATCATAGTAATGTAGCAACAAGTTATAACGACCTGGCGACAGTGTGCTATAGCCTTGGAGAATATACTGAAGCCAAACAATTTTACGAAAAAGCTTTGATGATTTGGAAAAAGCTTTTCGGTGAAGATCATGTCAAAGTAGCAACGAGTTATAACAAGTTGGCGTTAGTTTACCACACCCTGGGAGAAAACAATCAAGCCAAAAAACTTTTCGAAAAAGCACTGATTATTCGAAAAATTACTTTCGGTGAAGATCATAACAAAGTTAAGCATCAGTTCACCACTCCCTAGAAGGATTCAATTAAGCCAAAGAAAATATGTCAGACAGCGCTGATAATTGGGAAAACGAATTTCGGTAGAGATCAGGCCGAAGCACCTTGGTATTATTAGAGCATGAAATTAAGGCGTGGGAGAATACAACCAAGCCAAAAAGTTTCTCGAAAAAGCTTTTAATTAAAAAATTCACAACGATTTTCGGTACAGATCATATCGATGTAACAACAAGTTAAAACATTTTGGCATCAGTGTGTGACAGCCTGGAAGAATACGGTCAATTAAGGCAAAGACCTTTACGAAAGGGCAGTGATATGGTGATCTGGAAAAAGACATTTGGTAAAGATCATACCGAAGTACCATAAACTTAGAAAACTTACAAAAGAACTGATGACTGGGGAAAAGATTTTTGGTAAAAATCATTCCAGTAATATAACTTATAACAAAGTAGCATGAGTGAACAATCACCTTGATGTGGATCGAGCTAGCTTTAGCTTAAGATGGCAACGTCAACGAAATAGTTACTAAGGTATCAAAGCTTCTTTATATTCTGTGAGTTCTGAAACAGACTGGATTCCATTCTAGTGACCTCATCAATGTCTCCTTTGCATTGATACGTTCCATTTTGGAATATTGGACACAGCCTACCCGTCTATTTGAGTGGCAAGATTGAGGGAGTCAAGAAAATTTCTCCTAAAATGACGCTCTGTCGTTGAAATATGCAAAATCACCCGGCTTAACGCTCAATGTGGCTACCTATGCCTTAGGGCGTTGCACACATCAGCGGCTACCCAGAATCTCTCCTGCCCAACTTATTACCTCCCACACGTTCTAAGGGCCAGCCATCCGTTTTTTTGGTTTGTTTGTTTCTTTTTTCAGCACTGGCAACAACACAGCCCTGCCTAAATGTGCCGAGCCATAGTTAGTGGAGGAGTTGATAAAAACAACTGTGCTGCAGTTTTTGTTGGAAGCTCCCTGACGGTGGCACAATCCTTTGTTTTTTGTGACGGAATAAATAAATGCGACGTTTTTACTGGTCAATAAGATCAAAATGATAGGAATGCTATTGCTGGTTTGCACGGGACGTCACGGCGGCCATGTTGGTGGTCAAGAACAAAAGCATTTCTCTCCTCTGGGAACTAAACTCTATTTTGATGTAAATTCTTAGAGAACAAATGCTATTGACCCTCGACATGGCCGCCAGGATCACAAACGCATATAAAAAAGGAGTCTCTACGGCCGAACGGAAACGCACAAACGTAGCTTTTTCATTACTTTATGCCAGTAACGTCCAGTAAACCATCCAGGGAGCCAAGGGTGGAGTTGATTTTGTACAGTGGTCTACAGTTTTGGACCGACCTCTTCGGCGCAAGCAGTTTCGGCCATCTTTAGATTCTCTTCTTCCAGTTTCAGATTATCTGCTGGATTCGTTTCTCTAGCTGCGAAAGTTTCATTGCTTTCCATATCTGGGGCAGTCCTATTTGACCCTATTTCTACGAGCCTGGCGTGTTTATTTACCGTGGGAGTTCGAATTTCGTGAAAAAGGTGGTGTTGGAAAAGGAGCGATGGCGGCTGAGATGTCATCTCGTGCCTCCCACTTTTATGGAGGGTGAATTTGAGCAAATTATCACGAAACGTCGTGTGAGCATTAAGGACAACAACACTGTAATTATACTGGATTCGTACAGTGGTACTAGCACAGAGCCTGGGTTACCTGTGAATACCCCCTGCCGAAATGTGACATGAGAGAGATTTAGGGCGCTTTCCATTTAGTCAAAATTTCCGGAATTTCCGGTTCGGCGGTAAATGGAACACGTTTCGTCGGTTCGTCCCACTGGAAAATTTCCAGAAAAAGTGGAAAATCTAAAAAGGTGGTCCCGTTTTCCGGGTTGGAATTTCCGAACGGAATGTCGTGTTCCATTTACGTTTCTCGTAGTTTGTACCAGTTCCAGGTCCACGGTCGGGCACCGCCACGTACCGCGGTTTACGACCAAATGGAACAACTTTTTAACAATCGGAAATTCCACTTTTGCTACCACCGAAATTTCCGAGTTTTTTTCCTAAATGGAAAGCGTCCTTAGAGTCTCGTTTACGGCAAACGGTAAACCAGAATTTGTGCCACGTGACTTTGGGACCCTGAACTGTGACAATACCAGCGCCCACAGTTTTTACTGTTTCAAATGCTGCCGTTTCTGGTGCGAATATTGCGTTATAATTGTAAAGCGCTTTGGTCAATTAGTGGAGTTAGCGCTATATAAATTATGTTATTATTATTATTATTATTAAAGCCCACAACATCATGCGCGCTAACAAAGACCACAGAGTGCTAGCGATTAAGGATTTCAAGATCAAGACATCGAGGACGTGTTAAAGCTGCCGACGTTTTGTGAAAAGAAGTACCATGAAAACGAAGAGCTGAAGTTCTTTTGCAAAGACTGTGAGGTCGCCATCTGCAACACTTGCGTTGTAACACTTCACGAAAGTCACACCAAGGTGCTTCTACAAGTTGCTGCCAGTGATCGAAAGTTATGTGTGGAGTCTACGATGAAGTCTCAGGAAGAGAAAGCGCTTCAGAAGAGAAATAAGATCATTAGGCTTCAAAACGAGTGTATTAAAATTCAAGCACAAGTCGCCGGCGTGAAAAGAAGTGCGCACTGTTTTGTTGACAACAAAATCAAAGTCATCGAAGAGAAGAAGCGGAAACTTTTTAAAGAAGTAGAAGACAAAGCTAAAGAGTCAATCGAGAGTTTGGAAGAGCAACAATCAGAACAAGAAAATGAATTAGAGCAGATTGAGACATCGATTGCAGAAACTAAAACGTTCCTACAACTAAGCACCAATGCCGAGATTGTGCTGGTTAAGGTAGCCCCAGGCCAGGAGCTGGCGGTGGTCAGTGACGAGGCTGAGCAAGTCAACAGTGACTTGAGAGACCTTGGTTACTTTTTCTTCGTTAGAAACAAGGCGTTAATAGATAAAACTAACAGTGAAGGAGTTGGTTCACTGACACAAATCATCAGCAAAACGAAATCGAGTAATTCAAGTGCGGAAAGAAAAGGAATCGCTGACGTAACTATTGGACTGGAAGCAAGGTTTATTTTAACAACACGAAATTGTGAGAATGAAAAATGCTACGAAGATTTTGATAACGTGGCAGTGGAAATCACAAATGATCAGGGCCAAAATTGCACCACTGAAGCACAGATTCAGGATAACAAAGATGGCAGTTACAGGGTTGTCATTAAGAACCGGGGGACGGGGATTTTCCCCGGCTACTAAGAGAGTGGCCCCCAGCTACTTCTATTGGAAAATAGAAGAAAAATAGAACCACAAGAAATGCCTAGCCATTTGATTCCCCGCCTACTTGTTGTATTTACCCGGCAACTTGAAATCTTATTAGTGACAACCCTGCAGTTATAATATCAGCTACATTGCTAAAGAAACCGGGTTGTGCAAAGGGTCATTAACGGTGAACGGGGAACACGTTAGAGGCAGTCCGTTTGCCCTTGAAGTGAAGTCCAGGCAGTACAAACCTGTGTTGTCATTTAGCGGTTCGATTTATGGAACATTTAATAGACCTTGGGGCGTGGCAGCAAATGAACGTAATGAAATTGTTAAAACTGAAAAAAATAACAGCCGGGTTCAAATATTTAGTTGTGACGGAACTTTCTTAAGATCGTTTGGAAGAAGGGGCAGTGGAGAAGGTGAATTTAAGAGCCCTACTGGTATATCCTTTTTAAACAATGGAAACATTGTAGTGGCCGACGGCAGTAAGCATCAGCTGCAACTATTTACCGGGCAAGGGGAGTATCTTACCAAAATTGGTAACCAAGGAAATCTGGATCATCAGTTGGACGATCTATGGAGTGTATCTGTGGACAGTGATGGCCACATCATTGTTGCAGATTTGAAAGAAATCAAGATCTTCACTGCCTGTGGCCAGTTCCTAAGAAAATTTGGCAAAGATATTTTAATTGATCCCTGTCACTGTATTCAGAAGGATCAACATCTAATACTTTTCGACCAAGGAGATCACAGTATCAAAGTATTCGATACAGAAGGTACTTTTCTTTATAAGTTCGGCAGTAAAGGGGAGGGGGATGGGGAATTCAGTAAGCCCCGTTGCTTAGCGATTGACAAGGCAGGGCATCTGATGGTCTGTGACTTTGCAAATGACAGAGTTCAGGTGCTGGGATTGAATGGAAGATTCATAACATCGATTGGACAACACCGCGGCAAAGAGCTTGGTGAGTTTGATGGGCCAATGTCTGTTGCTGTTCTTAGTGATGGTAGGATAGCTGTGTCTGATCTGCTTAACCACCGCATTCAGATAATGGAATAAACTGTTCTGTGTCAATTTACTCATGCAGAGTGCCTTTGATTGATCATATTCTGGGATAAGAATACGCAAACATTTTGGTACAAATCTCTTCTACATGTACCTTGGTTTTTGGACCATTTTAACCCTACATAAATCCCTCGGGAATTTTATATTAGGAAGATTCCTAGATATTCTAATGCAATGAACACCAAAATAAATGATTTCTAGATTTTATTCCATTTATTCATATTCTGGAATATAGTCAATGGAGACCGAGAACCCCCTAAGAAAGTAGGACAAACTGTAACACAATAGTTTTTTGAAGTTTCCTTTTTTGCATGGTTTCCTGTGTTTAATATAAAAAAGAATTGAAAGAAGATGTCACTTCAATAACATTATTGACAATTATCAGATGAGGCTGCTACATTATTCATTTAAAATAGAACACCCTTCCTAGTACGAAGAATTTTTCTTTTTCTGGAAAATCTTTAAAAATTGTAAACAATAATAAATATACTCACTTTTCCTTCTTTTCGCAGTTTGACTCTACATGTATACTTATACGTAATAATAATCTTTGGGAAATTATAAATGTGAATAGCAAAGGCTACTATATATCTTCCTTCACTACACACTACAGGGTCAGCATATCTTGTATCTATAGTTGATGCATGGGTTAACAGGAAATAAACACAGGGTCCCCAATCTTAATGGTTCCTTCACAGTCTGGTGCCATTTGTGCTCCAAAGAAAGGTGCCTTTTCATGTCTGGGGTCACTATCTTTGAACAACCTAAATCTGGTTATAAGAAAGAGGCAAGAGTAAGAGTCTATGAGGAAGCACGCAGAATTTTGGTGTGGGGCTGGAGAATTAATTAATTTTATAAGCTGCAGATTTTGAATAAGCCAATTAAAAGCAGCTATAATTAAAATAAACTTTAAGTTCACTTCATATCAAGTCTCGAACCCAAACAGGATTTGATGAAAATTACATTTACATTTTATTAATTAATTATAATTCCATTTGTTAATTAATCAAGTTCATCAAGGAGAATCATGTGTGGACTGACATCAGACTCCTCTCTTACATTACTTATGGGCATAATATTTTAGACATCTTGAGAACAAAGTCCACTAGGACCCCCTAAGAACCCACTGAATGACTTTAAACTTTATTGATTCAGTGGGGGGTCTTAGGGGTCTTTGTTTTCAAGACTTACGTTACATATGTAACATCATTCTTGGCCAGTTATACCAGAACTGTCTGCATGATACACCTGGACAAATTTAAATGTCTGTCAGATGCTGATTCATAGTACATCTCCATGTCCTTATACTGAACAGCTCACTAAATATCTGAGATGACCAAGATGTCGTTGGGTTTTGGAGACGCACCTAACTTCAGACATTAAATTTGTTTGACATTTAATGCATCTTACATTATTATTCTCCATTTTATTTGATGTATCCACAATTATAGGCATCTGAAAGTCTTAGACGCCCTCTAACATAAAATACAATTGCCTTACTTTCTTAAGGTCTTCAGTGGTTCAAGACCTGCATCTTTAATCCCTTTCTCTGGATCCACAAGGGTTTGAGAACACCTAATAGTAGAAAACAAAGCAAACTTTTAATGACAAAATATATATTTATAAAATTGCTGTCACTTCAAACTTGTGCTTCTAGCACAATAAATGAGCAAATGCACACACATACAGTCAATTTTAACAGTGCTCCATAGACTGACACTAGGGGTATGTGCGTTGTGGTTCAGTTTTATCCATATTATTCAAAACCTTCCACTTCTTATAAATTAACCAAAAAAAAAATCAAATTTCTTTATGCAAAATTCTAAGAAATAAATGGCACCATGCTAAAGTTCAGGTCCAACTTGATTATTGAGGCTGCATGAAGCTGGATGCTCTGGCTGGATCTGTTTGAACACAGCTATATGGCTAATTAAAAAAAAAAAAGTTATCTGCACTCATATTTAAGGAAAGGTTTTTACCTTCCACAATCCTTTATTTTTCTAAATGTAACATCTGCTATTTTCAATATTTTATGGTTCCAGTGATCCTATAACAACAGAAAAAAGGGACACAATGATAATACAAATTATCCAACCTTTCTTTTGTAAAAAGAATGAAACATGATTGATGTTCAAGCCTAGCTATCATTAACTCACAAATATTAATGCACACCTGCTCATTTAGCCTGAGAATACATCTGACATTTGGCGCCGCTACCACTGGTTTCCCCGCCAAATGACGTCTGAGAAACGAGCGCAGAAATTCCATACTGATGATGCGTCACTACCTAGATCTGGGTCAGTGCTTCTGACGCGTCATCAGTATGGAATTTCTGCGTTGGTTTCCCAGACGTCATTTGGCGGGGAAACCAGAGCGCCAAATGTCGGCTGTTTTCTCAGGCTACTGCATGCTCATTTGTTTTTTGGCTCAGTTGGTTATATGCTAATTGCCCATCAGAAATCATGACACACGAGAGGGAATTGAACAGCAATTTTAATAAACTTTTTGGAAAGAAAGTGTGTATACTGTACATGCATGTAAGCAAGAAATTAATCAAAGATCAACTTCAAAAACAATTCTCTGCTGTCAGTCCAGGTCTCTCACAGAGAGAGATAGACAAATATAAATAGGAATTAAAGAGTGAGAGAGACGTGTAGAAAATACAAACCTCTGCAAAGGGTTCTGTGCCACCTATAACAATGTTAGGACGGAATCTGTCCATTCCAACTGGAGATGGTAACGCTTCATTCAGAGCAACTAATGATGCTTCTGTTGTCATGAGATATGCAGTTTCTGCTGCATATCCTGTCTATAAAACACAATGAGGAAAATCATAATTTTCCCCTTTTGGAGTCTGCAGTATTCCAGAGGGGTCTTTTAGGGCTAAGTGTCTCAACTAATTTTGTCCCCAGTTGTAGCCTTAGTGAGTTAACATCCTAGTGGATATTAGTATCTTAAGAAAAAAAAAAGAGGCTTGTTATGCAATATTGTGCAGCTGTCAGAGCTACCTGTAGGAAGCAAAAAGCATCACAACTTTGAATGGACTGTAGGGGGGAGGGTGTGGATTGTGTTGTTCCCCGAAGTTACCCAGGAAGTGTCTCAACAATTTTATCGCCAATTATAGCAATTTCCTCTAGCCTCATTATAATCTACTTCAGTACCACTTTAGTTTAAAACACCTGTCCTCTGGACCCCCAAAGGAAAAGCCACGCCCTTGTCCTAATGGTTCTAATACCTTGTCTCCCGGTAGGGCGTACTCTCCCCATCTTTTGTCTTCACTGCCATAACGAGGTTCATGAATCTGGTACATTTTACAGCCTGGAACATTCAACAAAGTTGAAAACCAAGCTGACGCTTCATCACCAGCATATTGAGAAATGGATGAAATCCTTAGCACCCTGGTAATTGAAAATCAGACATGACAGTGTAACTGTTACCATTAAGATCATTTATTTGGTACAGATAAGAGGAGATAGAGATTTTTTTTTTCCAGTTTGTAAAAAGATCACTGAAGGCCCGACTTCAAAATGTAATTGACTGAGTCCTCGAGAGGGGGACTTGAAACCACATGTAGTCTTTTTTAAGGTTCTGTTCTTTCAAAAGAACCCAACCCTAAAGCTGTAGGGTTTCCAAGCCCAATGGAAAGACATCTATGGAGATATATGTGCAATCGATTAGTTAACAAGCAAATTAAAGCTTTCCTAAATAAAATTTCCAAATTTACCTGTTGATTTTGGAAATAATTACCAAAGAAAATATCAGGTAGTTTATGTCACTGAACATTAATATTGTCTGAATATGTAGGTAACTTAAAAAGTAAACAGTTCTGAAAATTGATCGTGAAATTTTAAAGGGGTAATACTGTACGTCTTTGAGTGAACTGCCAGCAAGAGTGAACAATGATGCAATGTGACCAGGGCAATTATAATAAGAATTTTGAAACAATATAATCAGCCTATAGCATCTTCAGTTCAAGTAACTTTTAACAGAAAGTTTTAGTCAATAGACCTGCATGATCATGACAAATATTTAAATACTTGTTACAGGAGATCTGGTATATAGAATTTGGTCTGGGACTGCATGAGTACGTTAAGATAGCATGAAAAGTTGTAAGAAAATGACCGCTTTTTTATATAGCTTAATAAATCACTGTACCGAAGATCTTTATATTCGTTAGCATCCAACTGTCTGTTCAACTTCAGGGTTTCCTTGCCTGGAGCATCAAGACAAAGTTGATCACCTTCAAAATGTGGAGTTACTTGAGATAACACTGGCTTTACGTATGATTTAATGTACTGACCATTTTTGTCCACCACAATCCAACGCCTGGGAGGAAAAAAAGGGAATACTTCAGCCTAATGAATACTGAAGCAGTGCAATAACCTTTGAGTACAGAAGGAACCTCAAACTAACAAAGGGCCGATGGGCTGGAAATTATGTTTGCCACAACTAACAAGCTCAGGTTTTATTTGACTGGCAGTTCTTTTCCATATATAATTTCACTATAACTGGGGTAATCTTTCACTTTTTGGTGAGGACTTAATAATAGAGTTTTGTTACAAGGAGGTTTTAATGACTATATTGTAATGTAAATTACAACATAATATTGGAGGGTTTTGGGGTTGCAGGTTAGCACCAGAACAAGTGTTATTTTTTCACATTTTCAATAGGCAAGCAAAGACATTGAAAAGCACCAGTGGAGCACGAGACACATGCTTTGAAGGAAGGCATGAATAAAAGGTGTCTTCCTCCTCCCATGCCTGCTTTGCACTTATTTTTACTTGCCTAAAATAAAACACAAAAAATAATGCTTGTTCTGCTGACTAACATTGCTACCAATGAAGACCTGGATCCACACCTGATGGCCTTCAGACCTGCACTCATGCATACTTGCAGACCCTCACTTATACCTGCAAACCTCAGTACACTTGCAAAATTTGACTCTCCAATGTGTGTAGCCTGTGTACAGATGTCCCCCATCCTCAGAAACAATTGGGAGAAGAGACAGTCTCCTATTCCGATTTTTCCTGAGGGATGGGGGACGTCTGTACACAGGCTACAATGTGTGGTATTGGTGATTTAAGAAGTGAGTTAGTTCTTGGGAGTGACACTTTAACGTTTTAGTAGCTTTAAGTGCTTTATTCTTTATATTTCTATTTAGAGGGCTAGCTGGTAATTTCCCCAGGGTTAGTAGTTTAAAATATAAAAGGCCCAGGGGGGCAGGGGGAGACTCCCATATGAAAGGGGCGGGGATGCTCGTCGGAAATTTTGAATTAAACCCCTAAAGGAGACCAATCTGGACATGGCCCAACCTTTTTTTTTTGACCCCTAAAAGGGATCATTTCAAACTCATGAATGGAGTAAATAAAATGAATTGAAAATAATTTTTTAATATTTCTTAGAGTGCAACCCTAAAAGAGACCTTTACGACTAAATATAATGGTGTCTTGCCCAGAACACCCTAAGCGAGACCAAAATCTGAAATTTACAACCCTAAATGAGACGACGAGCATCCCCGCCCCTTTCATATGGGAGTTCCCCCCCCCCCCTAGGATAAAAGGGTTTAACAAGGTTTAAAGGCTTGTCTATAGTGGAAAGTGCACTTGGCTTACCCAGCTAGTTAAAACGTTTTCCAATGAATAAATTCTAAAGGAAGAGTGTAAAATTTTTAAGTCGACTATAAAATTCAAGTGTTGAAGTTGAAAATTTGAATCGTACGCCGTACTCTCCCGTTTGTAATTAATTATGCGTTGTTGGGGTGAGAGTGTTTGTGAGGTCAGTGCGTGGTCATGCATGCAATTTTCAGGATATGTGGTAATATAAGTCCTCCAGGCCTACAACTAGTCGTAAAGCTGACTACCCGCCTGTCGATCATGAAAAATCTGACCGATTAAAAAACCGTGGAAGCCGGTGTCGATCCGCGCCTGGTGGAAAAGTACGTTGAAGATTCTGCTCTGTTTGCCAGACAGACTGTGCAATCCTCAGATCGATAAGGCAAAGTACACCGGAAAATCATCCTCCGAAAAATTTTGTTCTGAGTAATGTGTCCCAACCTAGCTCTTGTAACTTCTCTGCAATATATATACTGGAAGACTTGAGACATACCTCTTATATGTTTCACAAAAACACTGTAACTTTCTTGCGAACAAATAGCACTATACCTGTCATTTTGCAATCCTTCTATGAGGCAGTTTGAAGCTTCTAAGGAGATACCCCTGCAAGACTTCACCGGATATATAAATATACCAGCTACATGGCCAATTTTCTTAAATACAGCAGGTTTAGCCTTAAGCGCTTTTCTGTGTTTCCACCACAGGAAAGCAAACGCGATAAAATTCAACGACAATGGAAGACATATCCTCCACAACCCCATCGTTGGGTAATCTGAACGTGACGTGTCATAAGATGTGTCATAAGATGTGTCAAGTGTTGTGTTGCCTCGTATCAAGGCCATGGGGTTAATGGCGTTACAACTCATCACGTTATGCTGATGTCACGTATACTTTCAAGCCAGGCACAACCGGTCGAGGCTTTCTGGTCATTTTTCTTTATTGACCACTCCAGAAAATACCATAACATACCATAATACTCTTCGTTTGTCACCCCAAAATTTTGCATAAGTTTTCAGTTTCTCTTGGGGCCATTTCAGTTCCCAAGAGAAACTGAAGACAATGCTTATGCAAAATTTGGGTTGGGAGTGACAAACAACGAGCATTACGGTATGTTATGGTATTTTCTGGAGTGGTCAACTTTGTGCTAACATCTCTTTTGGGAATTGCGAGACAAAATTTACAAGGAGTTGTATAGAAAACCATTCAACCGTGACTGGGGGGCAAGAGTTGTTTTCCTCATGCAAATCCTTCTATTAAAATTTTACAGGTTGTCTAATTGTAATATGCTCTTTGAGCTCGTGCCAACAAATTTTTTCAAAAGCGAACTCAACTAATTGTTGTTCATTCTGTTTTCTTAACATGTAACTTTGTAACTTTATTTGATTTACCACAAAATACAAATAACGAAAAAACAAGACAGTTACACAAAAGCAAATGAAAGTGGCGAGGAAGCCCAAAAAGAAACCATGAGGCTTATAGACATTGGGCTCCCTCAGAGTAAAAATAAAGTTAACAGTAACGGTAAGGCCAGGATCGAAAGCAAAATACAATGAAGGTAAGTATAAATTAACTAATTACATAGACTGAGTTGACAAAATGTAAATGTTTCTTGGAATAGAGTATAAAGGGCTAATCTTAGGCCTAAAACGAAAGCACTCCTTCAAAAGCCGAGTCTGCAAAGTGGGAGTGGTACCTGATATCTGCGTGGAACGAAAAACAAAAACATAGGGAAGAAGCGGGTTGCGTAAAAACAAAGAGAACGGTTGTCTAGCAGACTAACGGAAGAATAGCAGGTGGAATAAACTGCCTAAGGATAGCCCGCGTAGCGGGCGCAAGAAAGTACAGGCGCGCGAGAGGGAGACTCGCGAGGGGAGAGGGAGCTCCTCCTTCTCCCCTCTCATGTCTCCCTCTCGCGCGCACGTTCTTTCATGCACCCACTACTTCCAAGCACCTGCTACGAAGGTTAGCCTAAGGACTGTACCACACTCTGGGGGAATATAAGAAAGCCAAAGAGCACTGATGATTTGGGAAAAGAATTTCGGAGAATATCATATATGATGGCATATATCAATCAGGCTAATGTCGATGTAGCAACAGGTTATAACGAATAACGACTTGGAATTAGTGTACTGGGAAACCTTGGGAGAATACAATCAAGCCAAAGAGCTTCTAGAAGAAGTCGACAGTAATTTTTCGCCCAAAAAAATTCCGTAGATGTAATACCGTTGTAGCAGAAAGTAACAAGGACTTGGCATCAGTGTGTGATAACCTGCGAGAGTACAGCCAAGCCAAAAAATTTCACGAAAAAGCAGTGATTTGGGAACAATAATTAGGGGAACATCATGCCAATGTAGTAACACAAAATTGTATTATTGAACAACCATTCTTGATGTAGATTGAGCTCAAGATCGCCACATGTCGCTTGCTTGTTTTGATTGCGTCAACGGAATAGTTACTAAGGCATGAAAGCGTCTTACATTGTTCGAGTTCTGTAACCGGCCTCTTGTGACCTCATTAATGCCAACTTTGTATTGATATTCTCCATCGTGAAATATTGTTGTGTCACTTGGACAAACCCAGCCTATCCTTCTGCCTAGGTGACAAAAGAGGGTATTCCATACTCTATTCCTAAATTTCCTCTAAAAATGACGCTCTTTCATTATGTAACTATCACCAGGCTTGACGCTCGACGCGACCACCCAGACTCTTGTAGTACTTACTGCTTCCCATGCGTTCTAAGAGCCATCCATACGATTTGCGCAGTAGCAACAATCCTACCAGTAACACAGCCCTATCAATGTACCGCATGGAAAGGTACAAACGTAGCTTTTTTCTCGCTCTTGCTTATATACTAGCCCTCGATCAATATGACATTAGTGCCCTTTTGAGCACAACGTTTATGCAATGGTACAATATTTACCATAACAGTGATAGAGTCTAATATTATTTGTTGTATTAGTTAAGTATTATATTTGTTTATAATGGTAATAGGACTTAGTGGAATCCAATTCAGTCTTCCAAGAGAAAATCACGCTGGCTTTGCGATGCTCGTGTGATACACGCGCGCTTCGCGTGCGACGATATTATAAACCTCGCGGCTCGGCGCTTCGCGAGGAATCATACGAGTGGAAACTTTGCTGGCAGTGAAAAAAAAAAGCCATTTCAGCTCGCGCGTGATAGCGCGTATTGTCCAGTTACTTAGCCATGACGCGTACTGTCCTATTACACTGTCCTATTAGTGCTGAAATCAGGACAGTTGATAACCAATCAGATTTGAGAATTTTGTTATAGTTATGAATAAACATACATATTTTCAATGCACTATTGTAGCCTAGCCCTACATATCTTTTCTTGAAGTCTCTACATGTCTACTTCAAAATAATTATTATTCGTACAGTTAAGTCTTCTATCTTTGCTGCAGGCTCGTTATAATCCAAAACACAGTGTCACCAATAACGATTATGTCATAATGTGACCTGTGAGGTTGTGGCTTACCACGATTAGCTTCTCGCAATTTTCAGGCCAGTCTAATGTTTAAATGACTGATGAAGCTGTATTGAGCATTTTCACTCACGTGGCCAGTAGCCATGCAAATTTATATTTATTGGAACAAAAGAAACTTTTTTACATAAGAAAAAGGTTTCATGTCCACGAGACGTTTCATTGTTTTGGGACACCAACAGGGCCGACGTGACGTCATGTGACAACACTATACACTGATCGTTAGCAGGACAGAAAAACAGGGTCACCAATCTCAATGGTTCCTTCACAGTCTGGTGCCATTTGTGCTCCAAAGAAAGGTGCCTTTCCGTGCCTGGGATCACTATCTTTGAACAATCTAAATCTAAATATAACAATACACTAAGTGAGAACGCCATAACCAAAGAGCAGGTTTCTGTTAAGTGGGGAAGGGAAGGAAGATAATCAAACAAATAATTCACAATTCATAATAATTAATAACGTGGCCTACCAATTGAGAAATAGATAAAGCTGAAACGAGTTCACAACTGCCCTGCCAATGGCTTCGGGAATAAGACTTTTTCCTCCGAAGAGACCCCGTCTCTTTGTGTCGTACGGAGGTGGGGAGGCAGTAACCTCGTGCCCGGAAAGTGCGCGGGGGACGATGGGAAGGGGAAGACACTGAGGGGGCTTTTCCCCCTTCCCATCGTTCACCACCCGCTCGCTATTTTTTAATTACAGTCGAACCCCCATTAAGCGGTCACCTATGAAACGGCCACCCTCTATTAAGCGGTCAGTTATCAAAGTCCCAAAATAATTGTACAAAAGAATGGGAAAATAAACCTCTATTCAGCGGGCGCGGCCACCTTTTGACCGTCCTAACGAGAGTTCTTCCATTTGTTGTCACCTGCGGCCATGAAGCGCTTGATACACTTGACCCGATGGATTTTTTCTTCATTTTAAGAATATGATGAAGGAAAATACAGTTCGAGATAGAAGTTGACAACAAAATGTGGACCAGAAATGCTTCTTCCGTCACGCGTTTGTTTCAAAATTAAGGGATATTTCTGCTTAAAATTATGCTGATTTATGACGAACCTCTATTGAGTGGCCAACCTCCTTTAAGCGACCACTCCCCAGTACACCCCGAGGCTGGCCGCTTAAAGGAGGTTTAACTGTATAACTATTGTTTTATTGAATTGCCTAGCGGGAGCCTTTGTGGAGAAGAGAGGGAGTAAGATCAACGCTCGCTTCACATCCCTGAGTGAAACTAGGGACTACTCCTAGTCTGCTAGAAAATGGATCGATTAAATTAAAACAGCATCGTTGGCAAAATCCCACAACTGAATTGGTTAACTAAAAGCATAACGAAGGCGTTCAACACTGGTAATTTGAAGGTTTGTGATAATATCATTGCCTCACTTTCTTAAAGTCTCCAATGGTTCGTGTCCATCTTTGACGCCTCTCTCAGGGTCCACGGTGGTTTTAGGACACCTAATGTTAATACAAAGAGAGTGACATAACAGGATTACCAACATTACAAGCAGTGATAGAGTGATTTTCGTATGACCTTGACATGAAAACGCGTTTTTTAGTTTGAAAACTCCAGCTAAAAGCAGAAATACTGTGGCAGTGAAGGCGTTCACTGAGTGTTAACCGATTGATGAAGGTCAGCAAACAAGCAAAAACGAGTTAAAATTGAGCCTTAATCGTTAATTCACCGCGCGTTTTCTTAGGTCTTAGTTGCAAAATGACACTTTTCTTGCCGTGAAATTTGGAAATCTTGTGATCAAGGCCGAGTGAACATTCATTATGGATCTAGAAATAATTCTATGACAACTACCAGTCAGTCAGTGGACAGTGAGTATAGCACATACGTACGATGAAGGATCGCAACAATGTTGTGACAATTTTGTGAGCGTTTGACTTGGTCTTAGCCTTTGCAGATGAATTTAGCGGTGGATTGATAAGTTTTCTATTCCTTTCAATAAAATTGTAATGGCTGAAATTATCACTGAAAAAAAATATATTCTTTACCTTCCACAATCCTTTAATTTTCTAAATGTCACATCTGCTATTTTCAGTACTTTATGGTCCCAATGATCCTAATGACGTAACACGAATCACTAATAAGGCATATCACAAATGCTTTTTTTCACTATTACACTTCGAGGTATAATTAAAAAACACAGTATTATGCTACCTTACTGGCTCATCACAATTCATACCTCAGGAGATTGTAAAAAAATCTGCAATAATTATATTACTGGTCTCTCAATTCTAAGAAAGCATGAATAAGACCACTTTCCAAAAAATTTCTTTGTCTCAGTACTGTCACATAACCAAAAACAGGGCAAAAAAAAGAAACTGGTGTTCCTAGAATTAAAAACCCCACTGAACTGCGACACATGATAAAATCCTAGATTTTCCTTCCTGTTGCCATGGCCGTTTTCACAACAGAGACGGATTATCTGTCCGGGACGGATAATCCATCTTCAAAATCCGTGTGAAAATTGACGGATGAACAGATCGATAAAATCAGGCGGATCGTTAATCAAAAATTCAAACCGTTCCATTTTCAAACTAAGTCGTAGTATCTGTCTGGCGCGAATTATCCAACGAATAACCCGTCTCAGACGGATAATCCGTCTCTACTGTGAAAACAGCCAATGTACAAGCTTGCAAATCAAAGTGTGAAATTCACCATGGCCAGTCATGACCAAACCTTTCTCGATAAACTTTTTATTTTATAAATACTAATACAAACCTCTGCAAAAGGTTCTGTGCCACCTATAACAATGTTAGGACGGAATCTGTCCATTCCAACTGGAGATGGTAACGCTTCATTCAGAGGAACTAACGATGCTTCTGTTGTCATGAGATATGAAGTAATTGATGCATATCCTGTCTAAAGAATAGGAATTAATGCCCAGGCCCCGGTTGTTCAAACGTTAGATAGTGCTATCCACCCGATAAATCACTATCCAGCGGATAAGTATTACTAATTAGGGAAACCAATTGCGTTATCCAGTGAGTAGATTTTTATCCGTCGGATAGCGCTATCCAACGTTTGAACAACCAGGGCCAGTTTGATTTTATTCAGGGATTCTAGGCTGACTGTAACAAATTTAGAATTTGTTGCATTAAATTTACACTTTAGTTTAAATACAGAGGGCCTAATTTATTGAAACTGCCAAAATCCAAGCATATTTGGGTCAAAGAAAAAATGGTCTTAAATTTAAACTAGAGATCCTTTATGCTCCCTTCTTTTGCTAGAAAAAAATTTGAAACGAACATAATTTATTTAAAGAGGTACTGAGCAAGAATGATTAATTTTATATTTTAACCCACTGAAAAGCCTACGAATGCAGACATTTTCTTGTTTGTCACTTCTCCCCCCATGAAAGGTAACTTTTTGGGTAAGGAGAGGCAACAATCGGAAATAAGTATACGATCGCAGGCTACCCAATGACCTAATGAGGCCAGGGAATTCACAGTCAGCTATGTGATGATAGAATTCGAACGTTAGCCTATTGGCCAACACGTCTTAATCACCACTACACGACTATATCTCATCATAAAATACACCTTTGTTCCAGAAAAATGTTACCTTGTCTCCTGGTAAAGCAATGTCTCCCCACTTTTGCTCTTCACTGCTATAACGAGGTTCATGAATGTGGTACATTTTACATCCCGCAACATTCAGTAAAGTTGAAAACCAAGCTGCGGCTTCATCACCAGCATATTGAGAAATGGACGAAATCCTTAGCACCCTGGCAATTAAAAACCAGACATACCAAAAACTATTACCATTAACGTATTTTGCCACAGGTTTAGGAAGATATATTTTTTCCACAGTTAGCAACAAGAGTTTAACGATGTTAAATAAAACCCACCGAGCCCACAATTTCGGGCAGAGGCAAACATGCGTATCACTTGACCACCCTTAATTCCACCCATTCAGAGAAAAAACATAAGTTCAAGAAAGGAGTTACATCTGTGACAGTACTACAGTAGATAGTTCCTTGATTTAACAAGGGCCAGGGGACCAACAAAATTTGTTTGCTATATCAAGGTTTCATTGTATCAAGGTTCATTTGAAATCATACATGTTACTATTACTGGGGTAAAGAAAATTGTTCGTTCAACCGAGGACTTCATTATATAGAGGTTCGTTATATCAAAGTTTCACTGTATAACTATTGTACAAACCTGAGATCTTTATATTCATTAGTATTCAACTTTCTGTTCACTTTCAGCGTTTCCATGCCAGGAGCGTCAAGACAAAGTTGATCACCTTCAAAATGTGGAGTCACTTGAGATATCACTGGATGCAAGTAACATCTAATGTGCTCATCCTTGTTGTCCACAACAACCCATCGTCTGGAAAGAAAAGAAAATATAGAGATGCAGCTTGAAGCTATTGAGGTAATGTAGGAGCTGCTTATAAGGTCTTTCCTAATCCATTCTTTTAAACAATGGTATTTCATTGTTTACCATTGTTTTCCATTATTTTCCTGTTTGGGTAGCCCAGAATTGGATTGCACAGTACTGTAAAAGACTCAAATCTAGATAAATACACAGAAAAAATTGGGGAAACTGAGCTAAGGGTGGATTTCAGACTGTCCAACCATTTGAGTAAAATCGGGATATTTTTTTATAACTGACAAATCACATGAGTGCCTAGGGTGCAAGCTGCCTGGGTGCGGGGGGGGGGAGGGGGTGTCTGGGAGCTTCCTACCCCAGAAATTTTGAAATTTTGATGCTCTGAAAAGTTGTTCTTGTGTTCAGAGGTTGATTTCTTTCTAAAATGTTCGCTAAATTAAATGTTCTTTTTACGCCTATTTTAATTTGCGTGTTTTCCCATACAAGTACTAGATTTTTTTATATTTCAGGCGGTATCAGCTTCAGTTAAGTACAGTCTGTGGCAGCTGTTCTGGTGTATTTATCACAACAGATGTTACAGTGAGGATTTTTCCTGTCCCAATAGAATACTGATTGGGATTCGGGATTTTCAAGCAAAATCGGGAGGATCCCAACGAGATCAGAATGGTTGGACAGTCTGGGATTTGGAAAACTAGGCATACAATCCTAAAATCATGGCTAAAAGTCTTGGCACACTTTTGCATTTCTGGGGTGTTTTCCAATTCACACAGCTCCCAAACCCTCCCCTCAACCCACAAACAAAGTTGGATACGTATATCCACAATTTTTTTTTCGAGTTTGAACTTTGAATAGGATGGGGGAGGGAGAACTGCACGACAATTTCAAAAAGGATGCATAGCCTGTGAATGGGCCTTCGGTAGAGGGTGGAACTGGGGAGAGTGAAAGTGATTTTTCACCCTTTCCCAAAACCGAGAGCCTGTTCACAGGCTAAGGATGCACTGTTTCATGAGGAAACTCAGAAATGACAGAAAAATATGGATACTGCATTACTGTCCCAAGGACTTTTGTCCATGATTGTAGCTACACCCATGAATGGCTCAGAAAAATCATTGTGTTAACAGTAAGATCCCAAAATAATAAAGAACAAAGGACCGGAGAAAAGGCTGTTTTATGCTTCATGTACCTAATCATAAGTCGTCTAGATGTTGATGGGCTACTAGCTAGATTCCTCCAGGCCAGTGTTGTGCATTGTGATTTGAACTCATTTTCAAAATTCTCATTGAGAAACAAAAATAATGTTAACTGCCTGTTAAGATGGTGTTACACGACATAATTTTAGTGCAACACAGCGTTGCATCATTATTGCAAAATTGTTTCGAATAGTTCCAACATTGTTCCAACATTGCAACGCTGTGTTGCGCTAAAAATCGTCTTGTGTAACATCACCTTACAATCGGATAAACGTGCCAAAATTGGTACAAGGTATAGAAACCCAAAAACCAACAACCAGTCGCTAGAAAATTATGTTTACTAACCTGTCATCTTCCAATCCCTCTATGAGGCAGTTTGCTGTCTCCAAGGAAATTCCCCTGCAAGACTTCACCGGATAAAAAAATATACCAGCTACATGGCCTATTTTCTCAAAGATGAGATTTCCGGCCTTTAGTGCTTTTCTGTGTTTCCACCAAAGAAAAGCGAAGACGATAAAATGCAAAGAAAAAGGGACACATAACCCCCACGACCTTGATGGGAAATTTCCCATGGCTCCCCTTCGGTGCCTCGCCTCCAGGCGGCGCGTGTGGTGTCTTGGGAATGGAATGGAATAAAGAGGGACAATAAGGTCACGCCACTACGATGTCACTAACCGTGCATGAGCACTTGATTGTACAGGTTTTAAAAGAAAAGATTTTTCAAAAAAAAAGTGTTTGGGGGACTGGCGAGATAACAGGGAGTACCAGATATTTCTTTCACGAAATTGACTCAGCAAATAAACGGAGACTACCGCATTTAGGAGGGTAACCAGGCTTTTTTTTTCTGGTTTATCCCATTAGGCTTGACAGCCGAGTAGAGCGGTAATTCTGTCAGATGGAAGAAGAGATGACAAATACAATCGTCTCTCTTCAAGAGCCATAGAATTTTCTCTCTTTTGACGGACACCGCGCTACAACGGACACCTAGAGTTGGTCCCCGGCTATCTTTACTCCTTTTTATAGGTTGATGGTTGTACAATAGACGTGGAGTGTCATAGGCTCCTGGAACTCGTAGATGAGGAAGCAACGAATCTTTAAAAAGAAGACTAAACAAAAAATGAATAGATTAAAATGTAATTGGAATTAATATAAATGAGCGGAGCCATGCTGAAGAGATGGATCACTCGTTTTGAACTCCCGGAGTTCATTGAAGTTCACGCAGTTGTTGAACGGCACGGGAGCAGTGTGTTTTCTTTTGAACAAAGCCATTATATATGATGAGTTTCAACAAGACAGTTCTTGGCTGCTGTCGTTTTAATTAAGAAGAGGAAGTGTCCGGCAACAAAAGAATGAAGAGCGAACGGTTGTTCCACTGACAAGAGAAAAAGAAGTCGTTTTTGCCATGAAATCTCACTAGAACTGGCGAGAAACGAATCGAACATGAAGATGGATACTGCAGAAGACTATGAAGGAGCTTTTTGAATTTTTATTTTTTTTTATTAATTTTTTTTTACACAAGCAGAGTTGTAAACTTTTCTCATCGGTCACCACCCCTCCAACATTTTTTTGGAAATGCATTTTACTTCTCAACCATTTAGTTTAATTATTATCAGTATTTCTTCTGTCTTGCTCTGAAGCTTAAATTATTTTTTCGAAAATCAGTTTCCATTTAATATTATTTTTATTCTGCGGGATGTCTGAGTTTGATTACTTTTCTCGTCGTTGTTGTTATTTATTTAATTTTTCCAACAGCTAACAGTAATGTTTGCTCTAGATCGGGAGGAGTAATACTAATTGCTATTTGTGATTGAACTGTATTACTATAAGAAAGCAGATGTCACTAGCTGCGACTTTGCTTCAATCGAAACAACACTTAATGAGTTTTTTTGCCATTTAAATGTTATAACAAAGGCCAAGAAAAATAGATTAGTAAAACCATCTCCCGATCGTTTCAACTAAAAAGCTCCCTATGACTTGAGATCCCGGAGATGAAGCATGAATATGCAAAATAGTTCAAAATGAAGGCAATATTATAGCCATTTATATGTGTTTGAACTCTGTTTTAAAACATGTCAGCGGATCTTGGTATATGAGAAATCTGCTGTTAAGTTATTTGCCTCTGCGGCGCACGGCCCTAAAAAACCAACATAAATTACCTGACAAGAATTAATATGAGCGCACGAGAGCGCATCGATAAACCCTAGGCTATGTAGCAAAATTAATAATAATAAAAAAACAACAACAACAAACAATTCTTGAAATGCTAAGTGTAAGCTTATAAGTTGACTACAGATTTTTGACAGATCAGTTTTTCATTGACGAAATCTAACCGATGGATGGATAAGTTTCTTTCCAAGTTTCTGCAAATTAGAGCGATAAACTCAGAGTAATGACTCTCCAAACTCAGTATAATTCGCTAAAATCTGAGAGAAAATTCCAACAATTTCTTGTCTATTAGTTCTTGCAGAATAAGGATTTAACTCCATCACGAACATCTTTCATTCTCCAAATATAAAGGCCAGGATTGAGGGAGGATGATGAAAATAATAACATCGTCGAAACGTAATAAACAGTCCAAGTTTGGCGATTCTCTCCAATAAGAGCAAGAAGCAAAAGCGAGACGATGGTTGGTGCAAAACAGATGGAAAATAAAATCAGAATATACAAGATTGTAACCACAGATTTCTTGTACTTTGCTACGTTAAATGCCGGTTGTCCGCCAATGTGTTGCTGATGTTCTCGAATGATTCGGAAGATTTTGAAATATGCAACAAAGGTGGACAAGTAACACGATGCCATGTATGCGGATATTGCAGCACCAAGCCCTTTTCTAAATCTTTCATTGGTAAATGCAAGTGTGTTGAAAACAACGAAGGGGATTGGAAGTAACAATGACATAACAGCAATAGGATATCCACGGCGTAATGTGAGTAAGGATCTCCGAGTCATGTGCAGCCATCGTTCAACTGACATGAGTGTTATTACAAGTACTGTTTCAGACACCAAGTATGTTGTACAAAGCAACCCAATTAGGGATGTCGTAGTATTCCACTCTGAGTACAGCAAATTAGGAACAGAGATCAAGGCGCTGGCAATACCGGTACACAAATCGGTCAACGCCAAAACGGTCAAAAGAGTATGAAACGTAGTTCTCTGAAAGGACCTTTTCCAAATTGCCGCCAAAACTACTGCATTTCCTACTACTGCCACAGGGGCAAAAACAACGATGACCGTGTGCATGGCTATCAAAGCAGAATAGTTTATTTGGTTCTCTTCGCCTGCGTTGTTTGAGTAGCGAGATATAGAGTAATTGTCAGCTGAAATGGAGTCATTCACATTATTTGACATGTTATCGTTTCGTCCAAGAAGAGATTTTGGAAGCTGTGTTGTAATAACCTGGGCCAGGAAATTCAACAACACCCTTTAGTCCTCGATGAAGTTCTTCAGTTCCCCTTAATAAGTCCAATAAACACGAGGCTTGACATTAGATCCTGACAGTTATCCATTATCCATTAAGGATGCTCTCTAGCAGATTTGACAGAATGTCAGAACTTAAATGAAGTTTTTTTTGCACCTGCATTGCTTACTAAACTAAATTGTTTTAATTATTTTCATCTACATCCTTACCGGGTATATTACGCACCAATTTAATGGGATTGACATGCCGCTTCCAGTTAGCTTGCAAGCTCAATTGGTCAGAACGCTGCACCGGTAATCGGAGAGGTCAGGGTTCGGTCCTGCTTTCTTTTCGGAACTGCACAAGATGCGTCTTTCGCCTGCGATGATCTTCTTTGTGTTTATCTATTTTTACATCGTTTGGCCCTAGTTTCCTGTTAATTACGGGTTGTTTTCTTTGCTACCAAAACTAAATTACTTTTTCTCACAACAGTTGACAATAATTTTCTTCTGGGAGAAAATTATAAATGCGATCTCAACTTAATTATTCTCAGTTTTTCTCTAGAAAATAGCCCATTGTGATGACTGTGTAACCGGAGAATTAATGTCTCTTTGAATCGAAAACAATTCTTTCATTTCAAAGGTTAACGCCCAACTTTTTAATCAAATCATCCACGCCAAAACTAAAACTGAAGACAAGGTTTATTTAGAGTCCTGAACCGAAATGAATTACTAAATAAACTTCTTCATCATACAACTTCAAGTTAATTGTTAAAATTTCTTCTTAGAGTTACACGATGGGATATAAGCATAAATAACTTTTCTAGCTTCGTTTTCTCTTCTTAATATATTTAAAGTAATCAATTACGGTTTTTTACATGCTTTTCTATGAAATATTTGCGTAGCTGCCCATTTTCGCTGAGAGGATTCATTAGAAAAACATTAACATATCCGGTTTGGTGACAACCTCTTTATTGATTCTATACGCGGTGTCCAAATATTCCATCGAACAGAGAACCTCTCATTTTTTTTCCCTGGTACGCACAGCACAACGTTGAACACCCCCACCTTGACACAAGGGGAACGGTTGGACCTCGCCCATAGGGGAGGGGGTAGATGGCGATGCCGAAAGGCTGTGACGTCATTCAGAATACCCGCCATCTTGGATTTTTTTTAAAATTTCAGACACATTCTAATACCGTAACTTAGAAATCGGACATTTCTGATTTGGTTTTAAAAAAAAGTATCTCCCAATAAATTTAACTTAGCCTTCCTTAAGTAACAGAAAAATCGAGGCAATATTTGATTCTCCTCTGAACAGATATTTTACAGAAAACAGTCGTTCGTTGCCCCTGTTAAATGCAGCCAGTGAACTGAACAATACAAAACAACTTTGCACGTGCATTACGCTTTTTTGTTCATTTCTTAGGGGTCGTTGCACGACTACAACGTGAAAGTGCCTAACTTCACGTTTTATCGAGGACGGGAACACAAGTTAAGACAACAACTTTCTTTTTCTTTTCCTGAACTTTGATGCCAACATTTGACGAATTAAATGAGATGGAAGAAGCGCGATAAAGTTTGGAGCAGGGCGAATTCACTTTTTGAGTGACGTTTTCGCAGCCGTGGCCGTCGCTGTTGTTCTCGGTCATTTTTGTAACGAAAGCCTCGGAGCTCAGTCATTATCCTATCCTACACCGTAAACTACTGCTTATAAGCCCTGGGTTATAAGCGGAATAGAGAAAGCGCTTGCAAACAAGCTTCAGCAGTGCTGATCAAGATAAGCATTGAATTGACCCGTTTTTGTGTCTACGGCTTCTAGAGAAGCGTAGACACTATGTCATCGGGTCGAGTGATAGAGTGAAAGAGTGTAAGAGTGTAAATGCCACAGGAATCCCAAATTGAATCCGATCGAAATCCGACTCTAATCCGAGGCTAACCGGGATCTAAGCGATTGTATTTCCGGAAGCCGAGGTATGATCATCAATCGGTCGGTTACTGTCGTTTAGGAGACGGATTACGAGGTCCTTACGAAATGGTTCGACGATACTTCGGCAGCCACGTGTGCTGGACGTCTTTATATCGATTGCGACGTTAACCCTACGTCTTTGCATGTGCTTTTGAGATTTGGTAAATTTTATTCCCGTTGAAGGTGGGTCTAATTGTATTTTCTACAATGTTTTCGTCCTATTTCGCATCAATAACCGAGCACAGCTTTCTATGCATTTGTAAAGTATTTATTTCTAAAGAGTTTGTGAGGTTTTCTTACGGTTTGGTGCCATTTTATACCAGCAAAAGAATCATTCAGTCGAAGGATTTTGATGCCAATGTCCATGCGCATTCAGTTTCCTCTGCAGTTCAACGCGTTCAATGTCCGTTTGGTCGTCGCTGGATCCTGTGTAACCCTTTTCAAGGGTCAAATTCCCTACGGGGAGCTAAGAGTCTCTTTCGAGAGATCGAAAATTCCCTTCGGGGAGCTAAAAATCTCTTCCGAGAGATCGAAAATTGTCTTCAGGGAGAGAATAATCTCTTTCGGGAGAGCGAAAATTCCCTTCGGGAAGAAATTTATAATCGCCTTGTAAGATTATATAATATGTTGTTTATGTCAGAATAAAGTTACAGTTCTCTTCATACAAAATGTTTGTGGTAAAAGGTACCAGCTTAATCTCCTCTCACCAGTATTCTGTGCAGCATTTTTACAAAGTTTGCTTTATCCTTCTTCTATTTCCACTCTTCCCTCTTCGTTTTCATTTCAGTCTTATTTTCTTTTCTTCAATTCTTTTATATTACATTTCTATACCAGTACTGCAGTAGACACATGCAGTCTTAGACTGCGTATTTTTAACTATGCTTTACTAGTGAACGACATTAAAAATGAATTCATTTTAATACAAGCCAGAGGGGGGCTTATATTGGGGGGGGGGGGCGTATATCCGAGGGGGACTTATTTCCGGGGGGGCGGATGTTTTCTGTACTTAGACGGGCCTATGCTGGGGGGGCTTCTAAGGGGGGGGGGGGGGAAGTTATAAGCGGGGGTTTACGGTTGGGGTCCTGCTCCACCACGTTCATAATCTTATATCGCGTTGATTCATTGAGCTATGAGCGTTAGGCAATAGAGCAGTGAGGAAATAGTGTCTCCGGATCTGGGATGGATAGACGTTGTCTTGTATATTGATAGGTAGGTGTTTTAGTTCGTCTGTGGCGAAGAGCGAGGGGTGGGCTGGGGGCGGGGTGGGGGGGGGGGGCGTATATCCGAGGGGGACTTATATCCGGGAGGTCGGATGTATTCTGTACTTAGACGGGCCTATGACTGGGTGGCTTCTAAGTGGGGGGTGGGGGAACTTATAAGCGGCAGTTTACGGTGTGGCTCACACTTCACCTAGTCAATAAAAAGCTTTTTAGATTTTAAAGACGAGGACGATAACAAGAGCAAGTAGTGCACGCACGCGAACCAACTTCATTTTGGCGGGAAAATATGGAAGCCATCATCATTCTACTACGAGTTTTAACGAGAATGACGTAGTGGCGAAAACAAGTTATCAAATGCAAGGGATTATATCATTTAGCGATCGGGAGAGGGCTAAGCCTTGAACTCCTTCAACAGAAATAAGCATACTAACTTTGGTGGTGAAAAAAAGTACAATGAAGCTTTGCGGGGTGTCTATTTTAGAGAATAGGAGTGAAAACTTGAAATTAAATGTCGTTCGTCTCGTAGTCATCCTCGTCTGCTCGAATCTAAAGCTCTCTAATAATGCGTTTCCTTCTCTAAAAGTTCGTGCGAAATAAGCCGATGACTCCATAGCGAACATCTGTCATTCTCCAAATATAAAGACCAGGATTGACAGAGGATGATAAAAACATGAACACAAAACAAACAAGCTGGGCCTTCAAAGTTTCGCCGTTTACACCCACGGAGGCAAGAAAGAAACTTGAAAAAATTATAGGTAAGAACGAAACAGAAAACAAAGCGAGAATAAAAAAGATTGAAATTACCGATCTCTTGTATTTTGCTAGGTTTATTGATGTTTGTCCGGGGTTTTGACGAGACTGGTTTCCATGAATTTGTTGCTGGTGTAGTCGAATAATTCGGAACACTTTAATATAAGCAAAAGAAGTAGCAGAGTAACACAATAGCATGCATACGCCCATGGCAGTAATCACCTCTCTTGCAATTCTTCCTGTGGTTGACTCCAATGCGTTAAAATAAACGAAAGGAATTGGTACAAGCAATGAAGCGGCAACAACGATGCCTCCACGGCGCGATGTTACTGAGGCTCGTCGAGACATAAGCAGCCATCGTTCAATAGACATAAGTGTTATAAGAAGTAATGTAAAGGTTGACAAGTATATTGCACAAGGGATCCCAATATAAAACATCATCAAACGGTTCAAGCCAAGCAAGAAACGAATAGAGAGGAAAAGGCCGGTGACACCTGTACACAAATCCGTGAACGCTAAAACACTTAAAAGAATATGAAAAGGTGTTCTCTGAAAGGACTTTTTCCAAATCGCGGTCAAAACCAGAGCATTTCCCATTACTGCGACCGGAGCGAGAAGAAGGATGGCTACATGACTGGCCACTGAAATACTGTCTCTACCAACAGTGTTGCTATCGTTCAAGGTAGTGGGATGGGAAGTATTATGATAATCTAAAGTGGGGCAAGTCGTGTTTTCAAACATCCGCACTCGCTATCGGTTCTCCACCCCGTTAAAAAACACAGCCTTATTTCATGAGCTCACAGCCAAGCTTGACAAGTTGATCAGCAAGAAGAAAGGAGAGATGCTGAGTATAAAAATGTCTTGAAAGGTGATCTTAGGGAGACTGTTAACAGGTTTCAATGGACACGGATCATTGCAAGTTGCAACTACATCAGTCAATGAAGTCCTGGACTCGTTTGACCTGGAAGTAAGGTGTTCTTTAAATTAAAACTACTTGTTTCACCTGTCATCTGCTTGTTTTGTTCATTTAATGTTTAGCTTTCCTTTATTACAATTCCTATTCTTAATGGTTCACGAGCTTTATTATAATTCTCGTTTCCGACATCTGGCAATAACCTGCTTTTATCAGAAACAAGGCACCATTGCCATCAGGACTCAAAAAGCCCACCGGAGATGGCGACTAATAATGCTGGCTGTGGCTTTATCAAAAGTAAACGTAATCAGTCGTGTAGCTATTTAAAATGTTATGATAAAGAAACTACGGTGATGATATTTACGGCGTTCGCAGTTAATCTTTAAAGCCCACCCACATCTTTATTAAGTTAAAAGCTTCCCACGAAATAAAATCTAACCAGGAGCTAATATATTATTATAAGCTATTGTTCAGTGCATGCAAGAGTCATAATATGTAAAGTTGTCGTGAGAAACAAATTAAACAAGTCAGGAGATGTCACAACACTTTAAGGGTTGATTGATTTTCAAAATCCAGGACTTTTAGTGTCCCTAATTTCCGGAAGAATAAAGAGAAGTGTGACGTCACGTTACCTTGGTAGCACTATTTCTGGATGACAACAAAACCAACGACGACGGCGACGGCAAGGAGAAGGCAAAAAATAATATGCTTATATTAACAAACGTCGTTGTACGACTACGACATGAAACTTCCTAATTTCACGAGCCCGCCCAATGGAGTAGGAGAACACAACACAAAAATTGTCACTTTCTTTTTTTGAACTCAGATATCGATAGATACTGTCCGAAAGAAAATTTCGCCAAGATTTGCCAATTTAAATGAAACTGAATAAGATCGGTGAAGTTTGAAGTATTGCGAATGGACTTTTAAGTGACTTTATCGGTTTCTTGTCATCCAAAAATTTTGCTACCAAGGCAACGTGACGTAACGACTTCCCCTCGCTATACTTTAGAACCCTTTATACGGGAGGCTCCTCCCTGAGGTCCAACAGGGTACCTTTTCCGTCAAAAAAAGGTCTATAAAAGGGTCTGAGGGGTTGGACATCGGGGCGGAGCCTCCCCGTGTAGAACTTCGTTGAGTGCTCCCCGGGGATTTCTTGATGATAATTCATACTAGTCTACTGAGATCTGCAAGGGCAGAATAAGGATTTAACTCCATCACGAATGTCTTTCATTCTCCACATATAAAGACCAGGATTGAGACTGGAAGACAAATATAAGAACACCAAAGACACGTGATATGGCTCCCACGTTTCCACGCTCTTATTCAATTTAACAAGGAGAAAGAGCATAACTGCCACAGGCAAGAAAGAAAACGAAAACAAAACAAGAATGTACAAGATTGAAAGTAAGGATTTCTTGTATTTCGCCAAGTCGATCGCTGGTTGACCAACACTTTGACACGACTGGTTTTCACGAATTTGTTGCTGGTGTCGGCGAATTTTACGGAAAACTTTGAAATACGCAACAGTGGTGGCTAAGTAGCAAGAGAGCAGATATACTCCCATAGCGGTGCCTGCCTCTAGTTTAAAACTCTCGTTGAAAAAGCAAATGGCCAGTAGAACAGTGAATGGAATTGGTACTACCAGTGAGACCGCAGCGATGAGACATCCACGGCGCGATGTCACAAAGGATCGACGAGTCATGTGCAGCCATCGTTCAATAGACATAAGGGTTATAACAAGTATTGTTAGAGACATCAGATATGTTTCACAGAGAATTCCAATTGCTGATTCAGCGGTTTCAAACGTATGGTTATACAAATAGGGAATCGACATGATAGAGGTGGCAACTCCAGTACACAAATCAGAGAACGCTAAAACACTCAAAAGAATATGAAAAGGTGTTCTCTGGAAGGACCTCTTCCAAATCGCAGTTAAAACCACAGCATTCCCCACTATTGCTACAGGAGAAAGAACAACTATGATCACATGAATTGCCACTAGAATACTGTTCGGCCCATCAGCACTTGCTTCAGTGCTTAAGGTGCTTGGAATGGATCTATTGGTGTCGTTCAACATGACATATAATAGTACGTTTCAGCGACTTTGAAAATTGTATATGCCACGGGAATGATGGGCTTGAGAGTGTGATCGACGGAAGAAAAATTATCAGCTAGCTTCTAAAGGAGTAAATAAAAGGAGTCAATAAATGTCTTTCTTACATACACTCCAACTTTTGAACCGTTTGCATAGGTTACCAATTCAGCCCGCTGAAAGCCTTCCTTCAGAAGACGAAATCGGATCAGTGCTTCAACAAAAGGGAATTGATTTTTCGTGGCATAGGATATCACTCGTATTTGTCTTAAACTTTGATTCAACGTAGTAAGTTTTATACCTACTGTGAACTAAGACAAAGTTACCCCTATTCAATTTGGCACCCGGTTTCCTTTTTTAAGACCCTTCCTATTATTAACTGCTGATTTTGCCTTTTTTTTAGTTATAAAAATTTTAAATATATTCCCGACAGATGACATTAATTTCCGTTATATACAGGAAAACATGACTGTTGTATGGAGTCGACTCTTTCGAATCTTGTCCATTAAAAAGACAACTGAATAGACCCCTTGGTGACATAACTGATAGTATTCACGGCGATGATACTGACGAACCAAGAAGGATTATCAACAGTTTGTCGTAAAATCTAATTTGTTTTCAGTTGATTTCAAACGAAGTGCTGGATATTTTTGCAATGTTTTTCAAATGCAATGTACATGTAGAATGCTTTAACCGCTGTTCTGAGTTGAAATTATATTTATTCAGATTGATATTTAATTTCCTTTTCAGTTTAATGTACACTTACTTTTGTTCACCGATGTTTCTTCATGTTAAAAGTTAGTATGTTGTTTTACCAAAGCTGACATTAAGTTTTTCTTAATAGGAAAACACGACCGTCTCGGCTCTTTTTCGTCTTTCCACTTAAAAAAACTAGACCTCGCGGTGAATAGCATATTGATAATGGTGAGGAGACAATAATATAAAAACAAACGAAACTTTATTATGTTTGCCACGCACTTGAAGTTGATTTCAGTTTTTAATAACTAAAACTTCCCACATACAATATTTATGGCTCTTTTTAATCTGAAATATTCGCATGGTGTACAAATTTAACAAAAAGACAATACGCCAAGTCCAATCAAGCGACGAAATTCGGAAGATAAAACTTTCACTTGTTGATTTTATTCCCCTCGTTCCTTTGCCACACCAAAACCACTCCTCCATGGTCCTTAATGCAAAGGACTTGCAGACATCAATCATTTCCGACACCACTCACAACGCTCACCTTTTCGGGAATATTAGGGAGTTTATGCAACGACGATTGCGACGGCAACGAAAACGTCACTTACAAAGTGAATTTGCGCTGCTGCCTCAAACTTGATCGCACTTACTCCATCTCGTTAAATTCGTCAAATGTTGGCAAAGTTTTTTGCAGTTGAATTCTAACTGACTGCATCAAAGTTCAGGAAAAGAAAGGTGTTGTTTTTTGTTCCCGTCCTCGACAAAACGTGAAATTAGGCAGTTTCACGTTGCAGTCGTGCAACGACGGCAGAGAAATGTACAAAAAACGTGCTGCACGTGCAAAGTTGTTGTTTTGCTTGTCTAAACCTATTGCTGTTTTGCCGTTCTCGTTACCATCGCCGTAGTGGTTATTTTAGTGAGCATTGAGAACAATATTCCAGGGGTACCCAATTGTCTGCAAAATATCTATTCCACCAAGTATTCACTGCTGCAAAGAAATTTCAATAACTCGAGAACCGAGACTAAAAATACGGTCGAACGTCCATGTGCGACCACCTACTGAAAACACCAAAATTTCCCCACTCAAAGCCTTAAAGTTGGAACCTCTCGTAAATGGCTACCTTTTGTAAGCGACCGCGACTACTTTTTAGGATGACGGTTTTATCTGAATTTTCCATTGTTTTCAACGTGTTGTAAGCGACCACTTCACGCATTGTCTATATGTACTATACGCTACAAACAGCATCCGAAGACACATATCGTAACTTAGAAATTGCATTCAACAAATTGTCTCCCAGAAAGAAGATATGTCCGTGGGTAAGCGAGCACCTTCAGTAGGTGATTCACGTGAGGCTCGATGAACCCAATTCGAGGATAGTGTTCAACAACAATTCGGCCCATCGATACTAGTAGTTATATCTAGTGGGATCCGTTTGTGCAACAACACAACTTTTTGACTCCAACACGAACATCTTTCATTCTCCAAATATAAAGGCTAGGATTGAGACAGGATGCTGAAAGTAAGATCACCAAAGATACGTGATATGGCCCCCAACTTCCTTCATCTTTACCCAAAAGAATAAGGAGGAAAAGCGAAACAATGAAAGGTAAAATGCACAAAGAAAACAAAGCAAGAATGCACAAGACTGAAAAGATCGATTTCTTATACTTTGCCAAGTCGATCGCTGGTTGACCACAATTTTGACGAGCCTGATTCCCATGAATTTGTTGCTGGTGCTGTCGAATAATACGGAACACTCTGAAATATGCAACAGAGGTGGTCAAGTAACACGATAGCCCATAAGCACCCATCGAAGCATTTGTTTCTAGTTTCATTTTCTTCGTGATGAGGTTCAATGCCTGTAAAGTAACCAAAGGAACTGGCGCTAGCAATGAGAGAACAACAAAACGATATCTACGGCGTGATGTGAGTAAGGATCGGTGAGTCATGTGCAGCCATCGTTCAACGGACAAAAGTGTTATAACAAGTATAGTAAGACATGACAGATATGTACTAATGAGAATGCCAGACATGGAGACAACTCCAAACTCATGGTTCAGCAAATAGGGAATGGACATAAGAGGGCTGGCAACACCAGTCAACAAGTCCGTAAACGCCAAAACACTCAAAAGAATGTGAAATGTTGTCCTCTGAAAGGACCTTCTCCAAATCGCCGTCAAAACCACTGCATTTCCTACCACTGCTACTGGCGCGAGTACAACGATGACCACATGACTTGCTACTAAAATACTGTCCGTCTCTTTAGCACTTGCTCCAGTGCTCAAGGTGCTAAAGATGGAGATATTATCTGGAATGGGACAAGTCGTGTTGCTCATCATGACGACGCAGCTCGGTTTACTTCAGTACTCCTTTGTGAAAAATGTCTTTTACGACTCCGCTTGGCTTGAGAAATTGGTAGGAAAATCGTTAGCTTCTAACGGCGTTAATAAAATGAGGTAAAAAATATACCTATGTTACAATACAAACAGGGCCAGAAGACACAACTTTGGAACAGTTTGCATAGGCACCGTGTTCAGTTCACTGATGAACACCTTCCTTTACAAGGAACTGCTTCAATAGGAAATGATTGTTTAATTTTAATGATATATTTTATCATATATACTTAATTACTTAGTTTTTGCAGCTGTGTGTGCTGAGTTGAAATTACTTCTATTTAATTCGATGTACGGTTTCCTATTTTTTTTTTCTTTGTTGACTGTTGTTGACATTGCTTTTAAGTTTATTACGAAATTTATCTTATTTTTCCAGTTGCTGACATTTATCTCACTCTCACTCATGACTACCCTGGGTACCAGAGGTTTTTCTCGCGTGCGGCGGGAATTTTCGGTGTTGGCCGAAGGCCGACACGTCTTATTGTTTGATTTTGATGAATATTTTATCATATAAACTTAATTACTTAGTTTTCGCCGCAGTGCGTGCTGAGTTGAAATTACTTCTATTTAATTCCATGTCCGGTTTCCTATTTATTTTTCTTTGTTGACTGTTGTTCACCACTGCTTTTAGTATATTATGAAATTTATATTATTTTCCAGTTGCTGACATCTATTTCATTTTAGGAGAGAAAACATGACCGTTTTCCGGACTCGACTTTTGCCAATTTTTTCCCCAAAAAGATCTTTTATAATAGCACTGATAATAAAGATGAAAGATCGATAATACAATACTACAATTGGCAATAAAATCAGCTGTCAGAGAAACTTTGCCTTAAAGGGCCTTTGTGACGTTTTTCCGCCTTCAGAAGAGAAAACTTTAGCTTTCCTCCACCCCCCTTCCCTTCCATGCAATGTTGTTCCTCTGTACAAGCTTTCTGTAATAAACGACAAAAATCCTAACTTTGAATGGAGAAGAGGGATCGAGGGGTTGCAAATTGTGTTGCTCTCCGAAGAATCCAATTTATTTACAGTGTTGAAGAACAATTCTGCTCGACGAAGGTTATCTAGTGGAATCCGTTTGTGCAACAACACAACTTTTTGACTCCATTACGAACATCATTCATTCTCCAAATATAAAGACCAGGATTGAGACAGGATGATGAAAACAAGAACACCAAAGATACGTGATATGGCGCCCACTCTCCGTTATCCTCACCCAAAAGAACAAGGAGTAAAAGCGAAACAAGGAAAGGCAAAACACACAAAGAAAACAAAGCAAGAATGTACAAGATTGAAAAAATGGATTTCTTATATTTTGCCAAGTCGATCGCTTGTTGGCCAAAATTTTGACGTGACTGGCTCCCATGAATTTGTTGCTGGTGCTGTCGAATAATACGGAACACTTTGAAATATGCAACAGAGGTGGCAAAGTAACACGATACCGCATATACGCCCATTGCAGCATTTGTTTCTAATTCCATTTTCCCGGTGATGAAGTTCAATGCCTGCAAAGTGACTAAGGGAATTGGCACTAGCAAGGATATGACAGCGGTAAGATATCCACGGCTTGATGTGAGTAAGGATCGGTGCGTCATGTGCAGCCATCGTTCAACGGACATGAGTGTTATAACAAGTATCGTAAGACACAACAGATATGTACTTATGAGAATGCCAGACATGGAGATAACTCCAAACTCATGGTTCAGCAAATAGGGAATGGACATAAGAGGGCTGGCAACACCAGTCAACAAGTCCGTAAACGCCAAAACACTCAAAAGAATGTGAAATGTTGTTCTCTGAAAGGAATTCTTCCAAATAGCCATCAAAACCACTGCATTTCCCACCACTGCCACGGGGGAGAAAAGAACGATGATCACATGACTTGCCACAAAAATACTGTTCGTCTCTTTAGCATTTGCTCCAGAGCTCATGGTACTAGGAATGGAAAATGGAGAATGGAGAAGGCCAAGTCGCGATATTGAACATGATGCCGCAGCTCGGTTCACCTACGCATGTATTAAAAATAAAGCGGCTTGGCTTGACAAGTTTGTAGACGGTAGAAGAATTGTTAGGTTTTAAACTGCGTAATACAATACAAACAGGGCCAGAAAACACAACTTTTGAACAGTTATCATAGGCACTGGCATCAGTCTATTGAAAGCCTAAGGATGATTGTTGAATTTCAGATGAATATTTTATCGTATATAAAAAAAAATTAATTACTTATTAATTAGTTTTTGCTGCTATATATGTGCTGAGTTGAAATTACTTCTTTTCAATTCGATGTCCGGTTCCTGTTGTTTTTGCTTTTGTTGACTGTTGTTGACCGTTGCTTTGTTGTGTCATGAAATTTTATTTTTCCAGTAGCTGACATTTATAATCTTTTAACAGGGAAAACATGACCGTTTTTTGAAATCGACTCTTTTCAATCTTTTCCTTAAATAGATCTCTTATAAGAGCATTGATAATAATGATGGCAACCATAAAAAATCAAGCGAAGCTTTATAGTGAATAAAACCTAGCACATGTATTATTTAAAGCTCCTTACAGTGTGATGAAATATTCAAAGGGCCTGTAAATTGATTAGAAAATATTAAATAACAATATTAAATAATAACGATAATGATAATAATAATAATAATAATAATAATAATAAAAGTTTAAAGTGAAAAAATTTTATTGACAGCAATGCTAACTATTAAAATCCTATTTACAATTAATTCGCTTGAAAAAAAGGAAAAACTATTCATTCAAAACACTATTTACAATTCCTGTCGATTTAAAAAGCACTTAATTTAGCTTAGAAAGAGTTAATTTAACTAAGAAAAACTTTTTCGATTTAAAAACATTTTATTTCAATAAAAAAAACTGTCAGCCTCTAAAATTCAAAAGTTTCTTTCAACTGTTAAAAAAAATAAAATAAAGACAATTAATAACGCATCTATAGCTGTTGAGTCTAGGGAAGTCCTGCTTGACCCTTCTCTATTTCTAGATTCCTTAATAATAATAATAATAATAATAATAATAATAATTACAATAATTATAATAATAATAAGCAACCGCTACGAAGAAACCATCGATCACAATACAAGTGGCTGCCTGAAGTCCGCCTCTTACATCCACTGAAATATCTGCAAAGCTTACAACATCAAAGTGGGGAACAACTGCTACGTACGAGCGTACACCCGAGACAGTAAAAGAAAATAAAAATAAAAGATGTATATTCTCTGGGACAAGCTGGTTCAAACGGATAAAAAAATCAAATCCAACAGGCCTGACATCCTAATGAAAGATCAAGAACTGAAGAATTGCCTACTGATTGATATGGCCGTATTCGCGCTGAACGAAATACACCTGTCAAAATGGTTGAAAAGCTATCAAAATATTTAAACGTAGTGATCGAAATCTCAAGGATTTGGGGCCTTATAGGAGAAACTGTGCCTGTAGGTTTTGGAACACTTGGCCTAGTTAAAAAAGAGCCTGGAAAAATACGTCGATCAAAGTCCTAGAAGCATCTACAGAAGACCAGCCTAGCTATTGGGCACAGCTCATATTTTACGAAAAGTGCTCTCCACTAACTAGATGACAACTCCCCCAGACGCTCCTGAGGAAAGTAGTAGCTTCTCGTACCTCTGGGCGGTAAAAACTGCGAAACAAGGAAAACATAATTATAATAATTTATTTTAGCATGTACTGACTTTGAAGGGGGCGTGACAAAAGTAAACTTAGCATGACATCAAATCTTATAAAAGCATAAATCGCATTAATGAAATTCCTCTACATTTTATTCATGCGATAAAGATAAAGGAATATGACATCATCCTCGTTACTACGCAAAAATGGGGTTCAAAAAATCCCCACTAAACTACTCATGTCAAGAATCAGGCAAAGTTTTACCTGAAGTGTTCCACGAGAGACACGACAATCTTTTCTATTTTTTGTAACAAGTAAAAATGAAAATGTACTTAAACTTGTAAATAGTGTTTGGGGTGTAAGTAGGATCATGGAACACATTCGCTTGATCATTCCAATACCAGATGATACCTTGTTGCGTCATCCTTCAAAGTGGACGCAATGACAGACTCCACCGTCGATGTCTAACACTAGATATTTTGTGCTTGAAACGCTCATCAGTCTACAGCCACCAACATGAATGACTGGCCTTAGGATTTAACTTCAGAGGCACAGATTGCATACAGTCGAACCTCCGGTAAGTGCATGACAATCCAAAGTGCGAAGATTTAGTGGTCGCTTATGAGACGTGGTCGCCAACGAGAATCGAACCACACATCTACATTTTTCAAGAGAATTCCTTGCATGCAATTTCTAATTCATAAGTGTACTTTTATGTTCTCCCTTCTGAGTAGTCACTGTTGTTGAGCTGCTTAAAGCATTCTCAGATGCTACCACATTAAGAAACTATATATTAGATATGGTTCCTTGATCTCCGGCGATTTCGTTGTGGTCACTTAGCTTGCGATTCGCCCATTAGGAGAGGGGTACCACTAAAATAGCCTATATGAGGGGGCTTCGCGAGCCGGTGCGCAAGAGGTACATTTTCAGGCTTCTGATATTTGAAAGACTAAGTATTTCATTGGTTGGAGCATATGAAAGCGCAGGGAAATCTGTCATTTTAGTCTCCAAAAGGACAACACAAGGGCTAACAGGGTTCCTTTTCCGTCAAAAAAAGGTTTATAAAAAGGTAAGGAGTTGGACATCGGGGCGAAGCGTCTACGTGTAGAACTTTGTTGAGTGCTCCCCCGTGATTCACTGATGATAATTCATATTATTAAAAACTGAATCATTGGATAAAGCAGTCCTAGAGCTCTTATTTGCTTAGCCATTATACTATGTTCTCCAAATATGGTAACTGTACGCGTCTGCTCAAAATTAAAAACAAGGGGAAAATCTGTTGTTTTTACAAATAAAGGCGGGAAGAATTCCCACTATTTTAAAGGCGTTTCTAATAAAACAATTATTCCACTCGCGCTTGTTGGATATGAGATGATTATAGCCAACGCGCACTCGTGGAATAATAGGCCCTTTATATGATGACATCATTTTACTCCTACGACAAGAATCCCTCAGGACTTTGCTTTCTTGTGCAAATTAGGGCTTTTGTTATCGAAACCTCACTGGGATTACCAAATAAAAACATGAAAGGAAAAACCAAAAGGATCCTGGTTGTAGCAGTAAATACCCTGCGAACAGAGTCTCCTTCTCATCTAGGAAAGATCGAAGCGACTCTGCTAGCAGGGTAAGCAGTAAAATGACGTCATCGTGCAAATGACCTATTGTTAACTATTCTACTGGGATCTACAGGGGGAGAATAAAGATTTTACTCCATCACCAATGTCTCTCATTCTCCAGATGTAAAGACCAGGATTGAGACTGGAAGACAAAAATAAGAACACCAAAGACACGTGATATGGCTCCCATGTTCCCTTGCTCTTACCCCATTTAACAATGAGGAAGAGTATAACTGTCACAGGCAAGAAAGAAAGAGAAAACAAAATAAGAATGTATAAGATTGAAATTACGGATTTCTTGTATTTCGCCAAGTCGATCGCTCGTTGACAAACACTTTGACACGACTGGTTTCCACCAATTTGTTGCTGGTGTCGGTGAATTATACGGAACACTTTGAAATGGGCAACAGTGGTGGCTAAGTAGCAAGATAGCAGATATACTCCCATAGTGGTGCCTACCTCTAGTTTAAAACTATCCTTGTAACAATAAATACCCTGTAGAATAACGAAAGGAATTGGTACTACCAGTGAGACCGCAGCGATGAGACATCCACCGCGCGATGTTATTGAGGATCGCCGAGTCATGTGCAGCCATCGTTCAATAGACATAAGTGTTATAATAAGTACTGTTAGAGACACCAGATATGTTCCAATGAGAATCCCAATTGCTGATTCAGTTGTATAAAGTTTAAGGTTACACAAATAGGGAATCGACATGACAGAGGAGGCAACTCAAGTACACAAATCAGAGAACGCTAAGACACTCAAAAAAATATGAAAAGGTGTTCTCTGAAAGGACCTCTTCCGAATCGCTGTTAAAACCACTGCATTCCCCACTATTGCTACAGCAGAAAGAAGAGCTATGATCACATGACTTGCCACTAGAATGCTGTTCGGCCCTTTAGCACTTGCTCCTGTGCTATTGTTGTTGTTCAACATGACATATAACACAGGCAGCCCAGACGTAGTATGTGTCACAGAATGAATATATTAATATTCACATGGACAAATTAACGCGATGAGTCGTCGAAACTCCAATGAACTAAAATAGTCCAAAAGTCAAAATATAACAAAACAAAGCTAAGATACCTTTAACTGAACGTATCCTTGTCTTTCCTGGCCGGTTAAAGTAGCATTTTGTTCAGTTTTGGTCAAGCTGATGCTAAATTCAAGCAAATATATTTAGGAAACACGCTCAAATTCGAGACAGCTTTGTTGTGAAGGTTTCATCGCATCGATGAAAAATTTTAGTTGAGTTTAAACGGGCACATTACGCTGGAATAAGCGAATTTCATTTGAGTACAGAAACGTTTGGGTTTTCAAATAAATTTTTCAAAAAATAACTTCTGTGTATATTATATTGTTCCTCAGTGTTCATTCATAACAGTCGTTCAGAGAACAGTCGAAAAACAACAGCTTCAGCGCCGGCTGTGTGTCGGCGAATTTCAGTTGCAACTTTGACTTTCATAGGTGGATTTCCCCAGACAGATTTCGATACAAAGCTAGTTAATTTCTTTTTAAAATTTGTGTTACCTGTTATTCTAAAGGAATTACAGTCAAATTTTCTCATTTCTACTGTACGTTTATTTCAAAAATTGTCACATAAATAAGCTTGATAATTATTTCATTTATTTAGTTGCTGCGGAGCGACCGTAGGGAGCGAGCAGCAACATAATCAGGATTTAAGGGAAATATATAAGGGGCGACGAATTCTCGAATTCATCACTTTTTACCACAATGCATTGCATTTAACCACATTTTTTACCAGAATGCATTGCGACAGGGAACACGATGAGAGCGTGCATCGTTCGCTTCCCAGACTCAGAGTTTTCTTTGTGGCAAATTTTCTACAGCACGGTTAGAGGTCTTAACAACTTTAAGACACGCAGGAGTCTTTCAGATGAGTACGATGGTTAACTTGGGGATTGGATTTCAATTCAAGAGCCTTTGACCCGTCTAGTCGTTAAACTTCACGAGAAGATGAGCATTTGCTCTTCGACCCCGCAACACGGGGAATATACAAATTCCAGCTTGCTAGAAGGTGATCTGAAAGAGAGAAAATGTCATGCCATGCTATTCTTAAGAACCTGTACGAGCCGAAAATGGATGTGATTTTGACCATTAGCTTCAAAATAACAGCGGAAATCGAGATAACAAAACATATCTTTTGCGTCCTACTTTGCAGACGAGGACGTGTATCGTCGTTTTGTAAAGTTTGTAAAGCATAATTATGTTCTTTCATTCATTCATTGCCATGGCATATGCGTGTGCATTGTTTTTTTACTGTTTATAGCTCAGTTAATGCAGCTTGATCATCTTGCCGGCGGAAGTTTCATCCAAAAGGCATTAAATTAAAGACTTTTCCACAGCACTATGTCACGGCCTCAGTAGTGTAGTGGTTAGGTGTAGTCGCGTCGAGCCCAAGATGCCGGGTTCGAGTCCTACTCAATTTTTACTTTCCTTATTTCTCTTTTTTTCCCATTTTTTTTGTGTTGTTATTTTCTATAAATTTATACCTAAATAACTGCAATAAACAGCAAGAAAAGTGTCGTGTTTCCAGTGAAAAGATAGTACACCGTATATTAAATATATGGATAAACAATTTGAATTTCTATCATTTCCTGCAATTTACTGTGGGAAAACCAGAGTTGATAACCACTTGTCGTAATGATCATTTTCTAAACAACGTTCCCACGAGTTCTTTCTATAGACTGATGGTAATTATTACTTTTCAACATGTAAATAGGTCGATCAATGTCATTTTCGTTTCTTTTAAGTCTCACGGGCTAACTAATGCTAGTATCAACAGAATGTGCCGCAGCATTACTATCTTTTAGATACCCTAGTTTTAGCTTATTTTTTAGAGTCTTTTTAGTTGGTGTTTATAGTTGCAGATATAGTTTCCCTCAATATTAAGACCAAGTAGACAGATGCCATTCAGAATAACAACGAAAAACGTTTTTCAATTTACCCGAAGACGGAGAACGGTTGATTCAGCGAAAGAAAAACTCAAAGGCAAGTTGTTGAAAAACATAGAACATGATTTGTTTACGCGCGGGCAGATGGCAGCATACATGAACTCGTACCGATGACTCAACCGAAGGCAAATGGAAAATAATGTTTTTCTCTTTTGATTATGATATAAAAGAAATGGTAAACGTTGCAGCTGTGCAGCCATGAAGTTGTGGATGCACTTGGGAGGTTTGCTAAGCACTCAAGAAGCTAGAGTCGCACTTGGCGACTCTTACGCTTCTTTCGCGCTTAGCAACCTCCCGCATGCGTCCATAACTCCATGGTTGCATGCTGCACGTTTACCATTTCTTAAATAGGAAAAAGGAAGCGATCACCTAGCAACGCGAGAAACGGCTTCCTATATCTTATTTAGAGCTCAAACTCAGATATATAAACAAAACACATACACAAAGTGGAGTTGAAAAGTCTTTATTTCAATTTAGTTTATGTCTTCTTAGTTAGCTCTAAAACTCGGATGTATATAAACAAAGCACACATACACAAACTGGAGCTGAAAACTCTCTATTTCAATTTTGTCTGACGTTTTCTTCGTTCTATCTCGAGGAAATGAAAAACTATTAAAGTCTTGTAATTTCACGCGCCTTTAATCAGTTAATTATGCGAGTTCGCAAGCCCAAAGGTGAATACAAATTAGCTCTGCAGTAAAAAACCCAAGGGAGCATCTTGACGTATTAGTATATAAACAATTAATAACTTATAAAGAAGGATCAATTAAAACACCTGACTAATAATTGCTAGCAATAAAACCATAAGAGAGATACCGTTTAAAAACTTTATTAAAAACAATGACAAAAAGAGTCAAATACACAGCGATTCGTAAGGAATGGAAATTAATTAATCTTCATCTTCGTTCTCCTCTTTAGAAGGGGAATAGAAATTGGTTTCCAACGTCTTCGCGTTTTTGTGTGTAACTGCCCCATAATCGTGACACCGACAAAAGCCCTCTTTCATTTAATTTCTCCCCTCGGGAATCTGGTAATCGCATATAGGACAAATCTTGTAGTAATCGTGCCAAAAGCATTTAGGACATTTCATGCATGATCAATGTCCAGTACACTTTAGAGTTCTTGCAATGTTCACAGGGACTTTTAGAGCGAAAGGCGGTGGACATTTCAGGGCTACTACTTTCTGTTTCCTGACTGTCGTTTTCAGTGTCGTTGTCGCTCTCTTGGGTGCCTTCAGCTTCAACGCCATTTTCAGAAGCCACTTCCTCCTCCTCCTGATTTTCAATATCCGATGAACTCTCCTCATTATTACTCTCGTTATCGGAAGTATTTTCTACATTTTGGTAGCCTTTTTTCCTTTTCTATTAAATCACTTAACAACTTTTTCTTCTTGATTAACCTTTATCGATTCCTAACTCTGAAAGTCCGTCTAGAAACGTGTTCAGCGCACGAGGCTTGGTAACCTCATTGTTATGAGGGAGTAACACATACTCAACTAGCTCAGCGATGTTTGTGACGGGAATAGTGCGTTTATTTCGAAATAATTGTCCGCTGGGAGTGCAGAAAAGAATATCTTTGGACGCGGCCATACTATGCAGCAAATCAGAAGCACGTTTTTCCGGCACTGCACGGGAAAGATGACTCAAAACATCTTTTATTCTTGGTTCTTCTTTTATGTTCGGTTCTTCATCCTCGCTTTCATCACCAGAACTTTCGCTTTCTTCATGTTCACTCTCGTGTTCTTGTTCAACCAAATCTATTTTTCTCTTTATTTTGATGAGTACCCGTGACAGGCTTAGCTTCGAATGATCAACTTGCCGTTGCGTCACCTCTTTTATAGCATTAGAGTTCCTAAGCTTGAAACAACAGGGGCTAATACATCTTCAATAAAACCACTACCCTCTTGTACAAGGACTCGCTTCTTTGTTTTGTAAGGGACATTTGGACTGGCCAGGTTAAGTGAAGCATCCTTATATGGCAGCAGTATCCGCTTATTTTCTTCGGGGATGGGAATGTGTCCCAGCAGTATATTGTATAAGACTTGGACTAGTGCATGTAGTTGCTGTGGAGTAGCTGTCTTTAAAAGAAACTGGCGCTGATAAGCAGGGCAATCAGCTAACAGTTGAAGAAAACCACGATTGTTGTTTACTACACGAGACATTGCTACAAAATGAACTAAGAATGGCACTTAGTAGTCTCTTATAGAATCTCGTGGAGGGAAAGACAATAGAAATGAGGAGGAGGAGGGAAAACAATAGAAATTTGGAGGCGGTGGTGGTGGTGGTGGTGGTGGAAGAAAACAACAGAAATGTGGTGG